ATCTATCTATATGGCGCTGGCTAAGATAAGATAACTTTAACAAGATGCCTGTGTGCTTAGTACCAGGTTGTTATTATACCAGCAATGGGTCTTGCTCGTTCTTTTGCTTCCCGTCTGATGAAACGACCAGGAGTGGCTTGATCAAGTTAGCTACCTAGCTAGTAGCTAGCACGTTAGTTAGCATTACAGCCTTGTCATTTGTATTAGCCTTAACATGAAGTAACATTAAGTAACCCAACATGTTAAACAGTAAGAGTAGTAGTCATATTTCGTGAACCCTTTGAATAGTACTGTCACCGGTGTGATCATTCTATAATACACCATTTAAGCCTGGGGGAGAAATGCTAACGCTAACGTTAGCATCGGCGATCTTCTCTACTTCATGCTATCTGCACAAATGGTTGACATTAAACATTAAAACGACCAGGCAGTTCAGAGAGAATCAAAGGAAGGCAGGCAGGCAGCTTTGCATGACATTCTTCAGGACGTGTTTCATTGTGGTGATAGTGAGGATAGTCAATCGTTATGTTGACAAGACAGTAGTGACGGCCATCTTGGTGACGTCACTGACGTGTGTTGTTGACCAGAGATGTAGTTCATTGAGCGTTTCACACAAACAAATGTGTTACTTCACAGTTTTACGACACTTTTTTTTTTTTTTGACTTGCAAAATTATCTTTTAAATTGACAAACATCATATGTGTAATTCGTGGCACAATTCAAACGGGATCGAAAGATAATCTTTCTCTCTCCATTGACTTAAAATGTGTCGTAAAACTGTGAAGTAACACATTTGTTTGTGTGAAAGGCTCAATGAACTACATCTCTGGTCAACCACACACGTCACCAAGATGGCCGTCACTACTGTCTTGTCAACAAACGATTGACTATCACCACAATGAAACACGTCCTGAAGAATGTCATGCAAAGCCTGCCTTCCTTTGATTCTCTCTGAACTGCCTGGTCGTTTTAATGTTTAATGTCAACCATTTGTGCAGATAGCATGAAGTAGAAAAGATCGCCGATGCTAACGTTAGCGTTAGCATTTCTCCCCCGGAATTAAATGGTGTATTATAGAATGATCACACCGGTGACAGTACTATTCAAAGGGTTCACGAAATATGACTACTACTCTTACTGTTTAACATTTTGGGTTACTTAATGTTACTTCATGTTACTTCATGTTAAGGCTAATAAAAATGACAAGGCTGTAATGCTAACTAACGTGCTAGCTACTAGCTAGGTAGCTAACTTGATCAAGCCACTCCTGGTCGTTTCATCAGACGGGAAGCAAAAGAACGAGCAAGACCCATTGCTGGTATAATAACAACCTGGTACTAAGCACACAGGCATCTTGTTAAAGTTATCTTATCTTATCTTAGCCAGCGCTATATAGATAGATTATATCTATATTGCGCTGATCTTAGGTATCTGAATGGTGGAGGTAAACAATTGTGACATCACTTACGCGACTCTGGGATTTGTAGTCTTTCTAGTTACGTATTTTTCATAGTCTTATATTTCAACAGTTTTACGACAAACTGTGACTTTTTTGACATGGAAATGATTTTTTAAGATTGACAAACATCATATGTGTAATTCATGGCACAATTCAAACGGGATCGAAAGATAAGTTTTCTCTCCCCATTAGCCGCGTTCACACCGGAGTACTTTCACCGTACTTTTCGCGTTTTAGTTCCGTGAGTACCCCTTATGTCGCGTTCACACCAAAAATCGTACTTAATCTCGGGTACTTTTACCCCCATTTTTAGAGCCAGCTCAGAGAGCGTACTTTTCTGTGGGTGAAAAGAGCTCCAAAAGTGCCCCAGTGCTGATTGGCTGGGCGAATTGCAAACCACGCCCGTACAACTCTGAAAATGTTGTGTGAAGACGCCATTGTTTTTCCTCGCTACAAAAACACAACGCTCCGTGCGTTGTGTTTGTTTTTGAAAGCAGTTATGGCAAGCATCAAGAAATGATGAGGAGGTGTCGGCGCTTCTGGAGATCTACGCAGAGGACGCGACCCAGGGAATGCACTGAAGCCAGTTCAGTAGCTTTCACTCGACCTGGGAATGTGCACAGCCCCACGGCACACACCGGCTAAAAATAAAGAAACTCGGGCAGGACTACAAACGGCGGATTCAGTGGCCAACGATGACGACCACGACGAAGGTAAAATCAACTACATGCACTGGGGTTTTAATCTGCACAATAATGGTCTCAGATGTACTTTTATTTGCTCAGTAGATCAAGCTAGCCATGCTAGCCATAATAGGCTAACACCGGCCCCGAGCACACAGTACACACACACTGTAACTTTGTCTTGAAAGAACGTTACGCATCGAACTGATGTTCACAATCATGTTTATTTCATAATATTCATCATATTTTATGTTTAACTTGCCTCAACAACATTAAACAAAGTTCAAGCATACATGAAGCACTCTTCAAAAAGGAACAATCCTCCGTGTTTGAACCTCTTAAATCGCTGCATAGCCGATTTATTTGGACTGGATTATCCCAGAGAGGCCAAACATTCTTTATAACACAGTTTCAGATTTGTGAAACCTTAATTCTATTTGTGAAAATACAAAAAACACATTCCTAGTATGTTGTAAAACTACATGGCGACTAAACTTGTATATTGTATATTGCTTATTTTCCCTTCTTAGGAAAGCGGACACGGGATGCGAATTTCTTTGACACCGCCCAGGCGTTGGAGGACCGGCGTGCCGTGGTGAATGAGTCGCTGCGTGGAGATCAGATGGTGCTGTTCACCAAGGCCCAGGAAACGGAGGACAAGATGCTCACCTCGATGGAGCGCCAGGCAGAAGTGTTCAAGCAGCAGATGGAGCGCCAGCAGCACCAGGATGAAGTGTGGGCGCTGCGCCATGAGGAAGCGTCGGCGCAGCGGCAGGATGAGCGACAAACTGCATTTAATAACAGTTTATTTGGTATAGTTTTTGTAAATACTGACACACGACACACAACGTTGCACTAAGGTGTGCATGCTGCTGAGAATATCCCTACACCTGGGACAGTTTATTTTATATTGTTATTACTGTTATGACTTTATTTTATATATAATGTTTACTGACATGTACAACTGACACTTTATTTACATTTAAAATTGTTCTATTTAATGTTATGTCTTGAGAGTGCAATAAAGAAAACCGACATGGCGATTAAGCTTATTTCTCCTGACACTTTATCTTTTGTGACCTGTGTAGCATCCTATACATCACATGTAAGTGATTATTCTGATACCATCATGTTTCATCGGTTATAAACTGGCAAAGCTTTATTTGTCATTTATTTATCATCAATGTTGCAACCTTGTGGGGGAATGGCAGGGGCACATACACAAATATGACAATTTATATCATTTTAAATATTATTTGACCTAAACTTTTAATTCCCCCCCATTTCACACAACACAACATGGAGTCCACTATGGGCCAAAACTAACATGTATGTTTGCATAGTGTTTATGGCAGACGGATGCAGTGGGTCTCAGGAAGATATATAATAAAGGTGGGTTTGCTGCTGAGACTCCCTACACCTGGGAGTTTATTTTATATTGTTATTACTGTTATTATATAGTACAACTGACACTTTATTTTATATTGACAATGTTTACTGACATGTACAACTGACACTTTAGTTACATTTAAAATATTTCTATTTAATGTTATGTCTTGAGAGTGCAATAAAGAAAACCGACATGGCGATTAAACAGATCCTGTATCAGTTTTTCTTCTTCTCTTGTTTTGTAGCGGGTTGCAAACAACTTTAAGGTGCTTACCGCCACCTACTGTACTTGTAATCTTCCCTCAGGGAAAAGTACTCCGGTGTGAACGCGATCTGTACTAAGTACCCTGGGGTTAAAAGCGCCAGGGCTCTTATGGCGCATTTCCATTGCAGCGCGTAGCTCGCTTTAAGCGTGCCGTGTCGTGCCGTCCCCTTTTTTGGTTGTGCTTCCACTAGGCCTCGTTCCGGCGCGGCACGGCGCGGGGCCACTTTTTCCCCTCTTTTCTGGCCCTAGAAAATTGTGGTTCTATCGGGGCCAACAAACAGGGCTGAGTCGGGCTGAGTATGCTAAACTAGAAAGAGGAGCGCTGGCAAGAGGGCTAGAACTACAACAAGATGGACATATTTGACCGTGATTTAATTGTAATACACGTTTCAAAATGATGCCGAAGTAACAACATACTGATACCGGTTAGTAAAAACCATGAATTAATGCTTTGTCAAGTCTGCAGACAGACGGCAGGCGAAAAACCTTTTAAAATTCGTGTTTTTCTAGATGGAGATTGGCTAAGCTAACGCAGTATATGCCCCGACCGTCCACACTCACAACAACGGCCTATACAGACATAAATAAAGCAGCGACTGTATTCACCATGACACAGGCAGTCTGTGGTGTGTACTTGTTTAACTTTTGTCGAGTTTCTGAACATATATAAGGAGCTGTGAGCTCTGAGTGCTCACAGCTAACGGCTGTGTTGTGTTTCTGGATTTCTCATTGAAGATGACGTCACAGCTCCGCCTACACTGCGTTACTATAGTAACTACCCCAGTTCCTAAACTGTAATGGAAGCGCAGCATGAAGTGAGTCGGCCCTGTTAAGGCCCAACGCGGCCAAGCCGTACCGAGCCGTACCGAGTGTGGCCGAGGCCGACCGTGTAGTGGAAATGCGCCATTAGTGCCGGAACTAAGTACAGGAAAGTACTTGGTGTGAACGCGGCTATTGACTTCAATGCATAACTTTTCCGGAATAAGGTCCCATACCCCGGAAGTAAGTGGGAGGGACTTCGCCACTCTATACATCGCTCTGCACCATGCTCTGCACTGATCACAGTAGCACCTGTTTCCATGTGACTGTCTGCTATGTTGAAGAACAGGTTTGTGCGTAGTAGAAAAGCCGCTTCACTGACATAGTGAGCTCGGAAACCGCAAAGATCATCACCCTTTCATGGACATTATGAGCCTTCACTTACTTGTTACTTGTAGCAGGACACATGCGTGAAAGATGTTGTTGCCTGGCAGCGTGGAGTTGCACAGGTAGGTGCCCTCATCCTTAGGTAACACTGCCCGGATGTTCAGACTCCCGTCATGCAGCACTGCGAGGCGCTGTCCGAGGGAAGGGCTCGGCGAATAAATGCCACCTTGAACAACTTCTTTTCCGTTTTTTATCCATGACGTTAAAGTCGGTGTTACGTTACCGAGGGTGTAACACGGAAGTATAACGACGTCTCCCTTTTCGGCTGTCAGGGCCGTTTCGGTGGAGCCACTACCCGAAACTGCAGCTTAAGAAGAGAGAGAAAAAACATAATGTAAGCCGAGTTTACACTCACCTGAGGCTGTGTGGCCACACCATTAACTCACCTGTCACACATAAACACAGGTGTAGAAGCGCTACAGGTGTGACTGTCTTCATGTTAACTCTCCAAAAGCCTACATCGCCTTTAAAAAAGAAAGTGAACAAAAGGGCTTCCCGTCCAAACCTGCCTGACTAGTATACCTGTGTGAGCCTGTCGGAAACACACAGAGATACCTGGGTCACCAGTCCGCCCATTATAACACCAGTAACACACTACAGCAGGGAGCACCGTGACACGGGGTGAACTCTCCGCAGTCCTGCTTTGTTTACTAGAGTATGCTGATCCGGAAACTTTGGTACGAATACACCACACCCTGACTTCACCTTGTTAAAGCTACAGTAACACCATTCTTCTTTTTCTTCTATATTAAGCATACTGGAATTACTAAACACAGGTAGTCCTGTTAGGCTATATCTGTATTTATATTTGGGTTAATCTGTTCATCATTGAGCCTGAAAACAGCATTTGAAGATCATCTCACATAGAAATATGAAGCAGATGAAGTTTACTCGGTTTTTATACAGTTAAGGAATATGTACATACAATGTAAAGTTATTGTAATTTTCATTGTATAAACTTATAAAGAATTGTCATTCTTATAAAATACATGTATAACATGTGTATGACATTTTCTGAATGATAAAATCACCCAGCAAAGTCTCATTTAGCAGTTACATGGTATGTTGTAGTAAATAAAGATCATAGGTTTGCTTATAGTGTTATTGTAATTGCATTCATTATTTACAAGACTGGTTATTTCATTCTGGTGTACATTCATACATAATTTAACATTAACATATTAACATTAACATATAGTTGCCTGGTCCCAGACTGTTCTGAGACCAATTGAGGTTCTTTATAAACAAGCCTTAACAGTTAGGGATAGAAAGTCATTAAAACACCATCATTGTCCAAATATACTGTCCAAATACAAACTTTTAAGTTTTGATGGTCTTGTTCTGCTTTCAAGAGTTCGATTAGTATTCAGGATCATTTACAATGCTACAACACCACCATTGAGGAGCCTTTTTCAGCTTCGCCGTGAGCAGGGTTGCAGACACTCAAGATCTGCAACTGCCTTTGCACAATCTGCATTTTCATTTATGGCCATCAAACACTGGAAAACTCTTCCAGTTGAACTTAAAACCTGTACTGACTTTAACTAATTCTCTTATGGTGCAAAACAATTTATATAAAGCAGTCATGCCAACATGAATTACACTATAATCTGAGTTTTTCAATTTTAACTGTATTGTAATATTATATTTTAACTGTACTATGTATTATTTTATTGACCTGTACTTAAATCATGTTTTATAATTGTTTGTGTGATAGATATTATGCAATATTTTAGTGTTTGTTGATTGTTGTGTACCTGCTTGAGGACTGCAGATGGAAATTAGCTATTTGCTATAATCTGGCATAATTGATATCTTCTCTTTTCTGAGATTAATGTATTTGTATGCATGGTCCTTGTTGAAATACATACACAATACATATAAGGAATGAATAGGAAGAAAATGTTGTATTATGTGAGAGTTTTAAGGTCAGTGGCATAGACATCTGAACCACTACAAAGGAGAGAATAGGCACCATTTATGTAACACAAATACACAATTGACTGAAATAATAGGATCAATGAAGTTACATCTTCATAAGACACAAATACACATTCCTTTGCTAAAATGTAAGAAATACTCCTCAATTGACAATATAAAGTAAACAATTATCCTTCTGTTAGACCCCAGTTTCTATAAATGGGATGTCTGGAAACAGAAAGTGTGTTAATGGAGCATGGGCCCTGGAGGAGGGTCAGCCACAGAACAGTGATTGACAGATATGTCAGCAAATCACAATCCAAGTGGCAGAGAAGTGGCAGAGATGTGACAGCGCCCTCTGACGGTCGCTTGCAGCTGGGGCAGTTTGTACCGTTCACGGGTAGTCAGATTGCTCGGAAAAAATACACTTCACCAGCCAGTATTCGGCACATGAACACATACTAAACTTCCCTCTGACTTGACTTGATGAAGGAAAGCCAAAATATGACTTATATAATAATACTACGACGGTGAAAAAAGACAATAAACGTGGTCACGGTCAATGGTAATTGACATCAAAACGATCAGGTGTTGTTTTAACGCTACAGTAGGGGAGTCACTTTAAAAAAAACCTGCTTATATAATTTCGTTCAATACTGATTCATAAAATCTCACATAATGATATTTTTGATTAAGGTGATTAATTGTTCAGCTAAAGACGCTTATTCTTCACTACTGCCTATTTCTCCTAGTAGTACTTGAACGCAGCACTTTTGGCAGGTTTTGTGTTCATGCTTGAACAGCGGTACAGTAAAGTGGATTCAGCAGCAGGAGAACGTCACAGGTCGAAATGCCCGCAGATTTGAGCCAGTGGACCGGGGCCCTTGCCCTGACGGAGGTCGAGGAGCAGCCTGCACAGCCCCTGACCGTTAAATACGACTCTGTGGAAGTCGACGAGCTGGGCAAAGTGCTCAAGCCAACACAGGTTAGTCAGCTATTGTGGGCTAACCAAGCTAACAACCCAGCTATTGTTAACACTGCGTAATTTCTGTGTTTGCTTAAAAGCTTCTGAGCGAACAAGTAGTATTTAGTAGCACAAACGAATGCCCTTTACTTAATTATGTGATATCGGCCTGGTTGCAAACAATGAATTGGGTTAGATAATGTGTCCAGCGTGTTTGCAGCTGTAATAGACGGCGAACAGCGCCTTCTAGCGGATGCAACGCTGCTAAAGCTAAGGCATCGAAACATCCAAATGTTTATTGAAGCACCAGTTTTAATAATCTCCCCCCTTTTGCGCCTGCAGGTGCAGAATAGACCCTCCTGCATCGAGTGGGAAGGATGTGACTCCAGTAAGATGTACACCTTGGCCCTGACCGACCCTGATGCTCCCAGCAGGAAAGACCCCAAATTCAAGTGAGAAGAGAAAGAACACCTGTCACAAAAATACAGTAAACTTATTAAAAATGTACTAAATATGTCGACAGAGTTGCATCCAAATAGCTTATAATTGATGTGATAACGAAAATAACATAATTGTGAAAATGTGCCAGTAATGGTAAGGGAACACATCATTTGAAGTACTTGTCAAACAAATATTAGTATTTATTTTGTAGCTCCATAAGGGCTAGAGTAGTACCTAGCCCATAGTTTACTATGTGCTAGTAGGTTTATTAAAAACAATAAAGAGTAATTAGATCATTTTTAAAGCAGTATTCACCACATCTTAGATCATCATGTCAAGTGGGAAATAAGTATTTTTGTGTACGTTTTTGTGCTTCTCTTATTTTCCTACGATACTGTTATGATTGGCTGTGAATAAGAAAATATGAAGGACAGACCATCTATTTATATATTTATTTATTTTTGTTGAGAAAGGGGCAGGTAATATAAGATTATTTTCTTCTCCCTACTCCTTTTCGGGTATGGTGTGTTTATAGCGACATGTTTTGTGAATAATTGTTATACATTAAGTTGTGCATATACCATGAACAGAATAAATACAAATGAAATGAATTCATAAATATGTATTTTTGTCTTTCACTTTAGGGAGTGGCATCACTTTCTGGTGGTCAACATGAAAGGGAATGATGTTTCCTCTGGCTGCGTCTTGTCTGACTACGTGGGCTCTGGTCCTCCCAAGGGAACAGGTGAGAGAGAAGGAAGCTTAGAGAAAAGCTTTAGCATGAAGGCGGTTTTCAGAAAGACCTGTTAAACCTGCTGTTTGAATAACGCATTATTGGATGGATTAGCTCTTTTATAATGTCCTATATATGGGGTGAAGTTCAAAAAACAAAATGTCTCTACACATCAAGACTTTTGCTTGAAAATAGTCTTACACACAGGGCAATAAACTTTACTTTCCACTGGTCTGTTTGTGTAGAAGTAATGTTAAGATTAAATAAAAATGTCACAGATGATGGACATATGTCTGTAGCAACCGGTTTTGTAGTGAGGCCAGTCTATGAGTGAGGCACATCTACAGTCTTCGCCATGGTTAATCTTGAACAGTATCTGCAGCCTTGCATCAATAATTTACTGTTTTAGCATATTATTTTCCAGCAGAACTGTAACATAATATTTTAAACCTGGACCTTTGCCCCCCACCCAGGCCTCCACAGGTACGTGTGGCTGGTGTACGAGCAGCCGGGCAGCCTGTCCTGCTCCGAGCCCCTCCTCACCAACCGCTGTGGAGACAACCGTGGCAAGTTCAAGATCCAGAGCTTCAGGCAGAAATACAGCCTGGGAGACCCGGTGGCGGGGACCTGTTACCAGGCAGAGTGGGACGACTACGTCCCCAAGCTGTACGAGCAGCTGGCTGGGAAATAGGTGAAAAAAACTTGACCCCATAGTGTTCAGCACTTAGATTTCCGATACGAGTTGCCATTCTTGCAGGAAGCAAAAAAAACATTACAGGAACCAAACATTTTGTGTGCCACCTTAAAGTATTTTTCTTTTCCCACTGATGCCTATAAATGCTGTGACAAAAAACTCTCAATGATGTCAACTGCACTCTTCTGCAATAAAACTGTTAAACAGTGAAATGGTTGCGTTATCCTTTCTAATGTTTTATTATCCTGTAAGGGCTGATAAATGTTTAGAGACCAGTTTGGCCAACTTGAATCCTACATTACACCTTAATATTAATAATATAAAAATATAGTTTACATTTAAAATGTGTTCTATTGATATCTCAGTAGGTAGAGCAAGGAGCATAGATTTCTTTTTTGGAGGTGGTTACATTTGGCAACTCAGTGAGAAAAGGAGCAGTGTGCAGAAAATACAAGATCCTTTACTGTGTTTTTTGTCAGCAGTTACAATATACACACATTTGGGCTGGGGCAACTAGGACCTACATTTAGGTCTTGGCCCCTATTTCTCTTTAATCCAGGGGGTTACTTTCATTGCTGTTTGGTCCACACAAGCTTGAGGTCATATGTCATATCATAACTTACCTTCCAGGAATCATTTTGTGGAACAGCAGAGATTATTAGTTAAGTGTAATGCAGTCATGAGTAATCATCATGACCTTAGCTCGGCTATCAAACAAACGTTTGGTGAACTTTGTTCTTTGTAACAACCGGTCTTAATATTTGTATTGATATCTCATTGTGCATTTATCAGCCCTACATTACAGTAGCTGGAAATCAGACTCACATTTTTTTTCTCATTTCATTTGTATCTTGAAAAAAAGATGCAAAGGCCTACATTACAATGGAGTAGTTGCCGCTGGATTTCATACTCATTAAACGTTTTCTTTAGGTAGATTATATAAAACTGTGCACAGTGTAAGTGATGAAATGTTGAATACTTGACCAACCATGTTTCCAGTTAGGTGTTCAGATAAGAGCTCTTCAGCTGTAATGTGTGTTGTCAAGATTTAAGATGAAATGTAAAACTTCTTTAACAATCATCTTTTTGCTGTTATACACAGTGAATATGATTGCTATGAGTAATTCATATTAAGGCATATATATAACAGCACACCCTTAGTTTGTGTGATGAGCACTTTATTTACAAATATAATTAAAAGCTCTGACAGATTCATGCTTTCTTTTAACCTGGAAAAAAAATTAAAGTGCATGCAATAATAAAGCATCATACTGGTCTGGTTTATAAGAAAATACACAGCTTGGGAGTTGTGTAAAGCAAAACAAAAAGGTAAAGAAAATCAGATTGATACATGGCTGAACCTCAAATACTATCTGAGGAGGGGGGAGGGAAAAAAGCGGCTTTAAAAATTCTTTTTTGATTTGAGTGACAGTTAAAATACAATACGAAAATAAGTAAAAGCTCTCCATAAATCCTTCTATACACAAAGTACAAGTCCCCCCGCCCACCCCATGAAGCCCTTTGTGCTAGCTGGGAGTTGGAGTTTATTATTATTATTCACATTGGCTGCCAGTGCAGAGAAATCAGTCAGTTCCAGTACCATGATTCAAGCTCCCCTCAGTAAGGAAATTCACCCGTCACAATTATAATGAGCGTACCTGTATGTACACGATTGTGCGCGTATCAAATTATTCAAATTTCTCATAAAAATGTCCAGGTGAATAAATACAAAAAAGTGTTGAAAGACGCGGTGCAGACTGACGGCTGCGGAAGGATCAGCTGTTTGATTTAGCGCTTTTCTTATTTTGCATCACTTGAGACCCCAAAAATCGAACTAAGCAAAAAAAAAAAGAAAAAAAGACCACCTTGCAAAATGCATGTGTGTGTATGTCGCTCATCCGACCGCCCTCGTTTTTCTCTCCCTCCTTCTCTCGTCTTCCACTTTAAAGTCACAACAAAAGTGTCATCATTGCACAAGAAACAAGAAACACCGTGACTACGTTATCATTGGTCTTACACAAAACATGACAACTACAGGAAGTTATCCAGCATATTTTTTTTGGCATCTTGTGACACCACGAGAGGCAAGGAGGGGGAGGAAGTTCAGGTGGGTTTGGGAGAAAGAGGTGGAAAGGGGGGGGGCAATAAAACCTGCCATCCACTTCGTCTGAGCGCCCCCCCCGGAGAACACACTGAATTCTGGAGTGGGTATTTTCTTTGTGTCTGTGTGAGGGCGTCAGCAGCTGTGAACACCTGCACTGTCAGGTAGAAGGAGAGGGGGGGGGGGCAGTGAGAGACGGCAGCAGGGGGGTCTCAGCCCCTCATCTGTAGTCGTCCTTGGGGAGGTCCAGGGTGCACAGGTTGCCGAAGCCCAGCCTCATGCTCTCCATGTCGAAGGCGTCGGTCTCGCGGTCCTGCCGCTCCAGAAGGTGCTTGATGCGGTCGGTCCTCTCCTTCTGGATGGAAACCAGCTCCTCCTCGATCTGAGGGGAACACAGGGGGGCACGCAGGGTTCATATATTGGAGGACACTTTAATACAAATAAAAAAAATACAATTTGTCTGTCGAAACTGAAGGTACATTGAGGCAGGTGAAGTGGTGTTTTGTACTCGGATAAAAAAAACTTTCGGGGCATCTTCTATCCAAGGTTGAAAACAAAACAAACACAGTTATGTATTTGATGTTCTGTACAATCTTAAAAGAGGTAGAAACAATATTTTATCAGTGTCTCAAATTGATATAAAGCATCTTTCCTCATCGGGTCAAACGGATGACTTGTGTGCGTAAGAATAGCGTGAGTGATACTAAACATATAACATATGACTCAATATGCAGTAAATGTCCCAGTAAGACATATCAGATATCCAGCATGAATACAAAACCAGGCCCTGTAATAATATATATTTGTATATATAATATCTGCATGTATATTTTCTATTTCAACATGTATATTTTCTATTTTATTTTATTTTATTTCTATTCTTATTTTGTAGTTTTGTTTTATTGTAAAATGCCTTGTCTATTATGCTGCTGTAACAAAAACAATTTCCCAATTTAGGATCAATAAAGTACTTTCTATCTATCTATCTATCTATCTATCTATCTATCTATCTATCTATCTATCTATCTATCTATAATACAACCACGATCAATGGGGTTAATAACCCACAATGGGGTTGTGAAAGTCAAATCATGTGATGTGAGAAAAGTCTACACCGGGCTACGGTAGGAAAACAACCATGAGTGAACAACCTCAGCCATAGCAGATAGATGATTGGAGAAATATCACTAAACTAAACCCAAGATTAGGAATATAGTATATTTAAATCAGTTGTCCAACACCCATCAATGAAATACATAGACCTCAAATGTAAACAGTGTGTGAGTTGAGTATTGTTCTCTGGCCAAATACTTTTAAGAAAGAGGCGGGCTTAAGTTGTCCTGAAGAGTGCAACAGGAAAGTAAAAGAGACACCTTTCAAGAATGATCTGCACACGCCTGCACAGTCCTGACGCAGAGGTGATGTAATGACACAGTTTTAAGGAATGTTAAGGGACTATTTAATGGCAGTTCTGGGAAATAATCTGTGTCTTTAAAAGGTTTAATATTTTGTGGTTGGTATTTGTCAGAGGCAGATGCAAATAAATACATGCAGGTGTTGTGTGGTTTAATACATCTCAGTCTGAACCGCAGCCTCTGATACAGTCCTTTCAAAATGCTGTGATTATAACAGGATGGTTGTGTACGTCTTCATGACACTGCAGAGTTGTTCCCTCTCTTGTAGCTCTTTTAAATCCTGACTAAATGAGGAATACTACGGTATGCGTCACTTGATGCAGTGTTTTGTCCTGTGCGGGTGTCAGTGTGTTAAGTTGTGTTACTCAGGATCAGTCATGGCAGGAGTTATGTCTGCTGGGTGTCTCAGATGACCTCAGCACACACATCCACAGGTGCAGACAAAGCACTGCATGGCGCAATACGGCAACTACTGAGCATGCACGGAAAACTCCCGACTCCTGACCATGAGCCGAACCGGAGGACAATAGTGCCTCGGAAAACCATGACATCATCCCGGAGCCAGCGAGCAGATCTGGAGCCAGCCAGGAGAGGGCGTCAGACCCCCGTGCAGAACTGGACCCCAGAACTGGATCCTGACGGCATCGCAAATGTCTCCCTTTGTTGTCGGAGTGCTGTCTACTAGACTGTGGCGACGATGACGTCGGTCACTTTGGAAACAAGTGTAGTTCTAATCTCATCACATGTGGTTGGCAGCTTGTGTTAAAAGTCACGGAAAATAAGAATTTAGGAGTGTCAGGACACAGCTTGATAAAACTGGGTCAAATACATGCATCGTAATTTAGAATGAAACAAAGTATGAAAGCTAGGTGCCAGCTTGCAACACGGGTGCTGATGTCATAATTAATACTTTATAAGTGTTACAAAATAAAAGCATAGAAACGTCCCAATTGTATGCACGTGAATATCCAATTAGGACACATAAAACAAGCTATAACGTTAACTGTATTAATTGTGCTTTATTATAAAACAGACGAAAATGTCGTAGTGAGAGAAACACTCTGTTGTCTAGAGATTTCATCACCATTAGAGGTGCGTGGGAGAGAAATGGTTGTCAGCTCCCGGCAGGAAGGCATGCCGCTGTCACCCCCACCTGTGGTGAAGGGAATCTGTGTGTGTGTGTGTGTTTGTGTGTTTATCTATGTGTGTATGTGTATATGTATGTAGGATGCAGGATGGTGTCATTATGTTAAAAATGAGTGACCATTTCCTCAACAGTGTCCTTTTTAGGGCGTATTTAACTGATCTATGAGGTGAAAGGCTTCGAAACGAACGGTAAAGGTTTTTAGAAGCTTGCTACTTTCATTATTGGCAAGGTACTGATTTATTTGGTAGTGGTAGCATGTAATAGGCCAGCTAATGGACAGTGAGCACGTCAGGGTCTGTCTTTTCCCCGTTCAGAGACCCAGGTCATCGCACGCATCTCTGCTTGTCTAGCTGACATCTCTCAGTGGATGTCTGCTCGCCACCTCAAGCTCAACCTCGACAAGACTGAACTGCTTTTTCTGCCGGGAAAAGATTGTCCCACTCTTGACCTAACAATCAACATCGGCCCCTCTGTTGTTTCCCCGACTCAGACTGCAAGGAATCTGGGTGTGACCCTAGATAACAACCTGTCCTTCACTGCAAACATCGCTGCTACAACCCGCTGCTGCAGATACACGCTTTACAACATCAGGAGGATACGTCCCCTCCTGACCCAGAAAACGATGCAGGTTCTGGTCCAGGCTCTCGTCATCTCACGCCTAGACTACTGCAACTCCCTCCTGGCTGGTCTACCTGCATGTACCATCCGACCTCTGAAGCTCATCCAGAATGCAGCGGCTCGTCTGGTCTTCAACCTTCCTAAATTCTCCCACACCACACCGCTCCTCCGCTTCCTTCACTGGCTTCCAGTAACTGCTAGAATCCACTTCAAGACACTGGTACTAGCATACCATGCTGTGAATGGTTCTGGCCCTTCCTACATCCAGGACATGGTTAAACCATACACCCCAGCACGTGCACTCCGCTCGGCATCAGCCAAACGGCTCGCTGCACCCTCACTGCGAGGGGGACCCAAGTTCCCATCAGCAAAAACACGTCGGTTTGCTATCCTGGCTCCAAAATGGTGGAATGAGCTCCCCATTGACACCAGGACAGCAGAAAGCTTACACATCTTCCGGCGCAGACTGAAAACTCATCTCTTTCGACTCCACTTCGAGCGATAGAATTACTAACAAAGAATTACTAACAAAGCACTTACATACTAACAAAGGACTGCTTATCTCAAGTAGTTGAGTAGCACTTGAAATGTTTTGGCTCTATGAAACCTGATGTACTTATATGATTCTGTTTTCTTCAAGTTTGTATCTTCTTGGTCGAATGCACTTGTTGTAAGTCGCTTTGGATAAAAGCGTCAGCTAAATGCAATGTAATGTAAAGTAATGTAATCAATATATATGTCAAGCACTTTGTTTGAAGCCTGTGAGGAATTTAATTACACGTAAAACGTGTAAAAGGAAGTGCACCAACATTAAATTGCTTCTTGGTCCTAAAAACTCTAATTTTAAACCGTATGTCTTTTATTTTGAAGTCTTAGGTTCCATCCTGTCTGTCTGTAGCACCTAAATTGCTCCAAAACTTTGATTTGTATTAATCGTTATTCCTGTAGAACAATTGGACGTGTGTTGATACTCAAACTGGTGGGGGTCTTAACGTTTTTTTTTTTTTTTTTTTTTTTACACGAGGTAACTCTTTTCTCTAATTTATTATTATTTTATATATTTTTATATATTAATGTAAATAAATGCTTTGAAATGATTGTAATTTTAAGAAGAAGTGTGAGAAACATTTCCTCTGTTGTGTTTCATTTAGGTTGTCAATATTGATCACCTGCCGTCAATCTAGAGTCGGTCCTGCAAAGAAAAGAAAGTGTCCTTTAGAGTGACGAGTGTTTGGTTCACCTTCTGCTCCAGGTGGGCCCGGCGCAGCGACACCTTCTGCTCCAGCTTCTGCAGCTCACGCTCGTGCTGCGCCTCGGTCTGCATCTTGATCTTGCTCTGGTAGGCGTTCAGCAGCTCCATCTCCTGCTGCAGCTGCTGCCTCAGGGCCTGGCACTCGGCTTCCTGGGCCTCGTCCAGACGCAGCTGACAGCCCACCATAGACCCAACAGGGGGGGGGGGGGGGGGGGGGGGGGAAGGTGTGGGTACATTGATAAGACCCCCAGAAAAAAGAGAAAGAAAGAGGGAATAGAGACAGAGGAGGCAGAGGGCAACGGGGGGAAGAAAATGAAAGGGTGACAGGGACAAGAAGGGGAAGGGGTTTAAAATAAATACAGAGAGATTGTAAAGGAAAGGGAGATAGAAAGAAAAGGGGAGGAGAGGAAGACGGGATAAGGAGAAGAGAAAAATGTAAAATCGTGAGCAACAAGTGGAGAGAAATACCTCGTAATCCCTTCAAAAAAAGTTTACATTTCGTATCCTAAACTGTGGTGTAAAGTAACTAAGTACATTTACTCAAGTACAGTACTTAAGTACAATTTTGATACTTTACTTGAGGATTTCATTATTTTGTTACTTTGTATTTCTACTCCAGTAAATGGTTTACTTTTACTCCACTACATTTATTTAATACCTTTAGTTACTTAACAGATTTGGATTAATGATGTGAAATATAATCAACCCTTAAATCAGACTTTAGTTCCACCTGGAGTAAATTCACAAGCTACCCTGCAGTATGCAAAGTCATTACAACTAGCTGCACCTTTACCAGCTTTGAGAACACTTTAATGATCAATCATTATAATCAAAACATATAATATATATTAATCTGAAATGGACCAATCTGCATAATGAGTACTTTTACTTTTGATACTTTAAGTATATTTTTATGCCAATAATTGTCTTCTTGTACTTGAGTAACATTTTGATTGCAGGCCTTTTACTTGTAACAGAGTATTCCAACACTCTGGTACTTTGACGTTTACTCAAGTACAAGATCTGAGTACCCTTCCCACCTCTGATCCTAAATATTGCTTCCTGCATTTAAAAACCAAACTCATTAGAAAGCAGCGTATGGTTCTCCCTGCGCTCACCGCCTGCGTGGCCATCATCTCGTTGATGCTCTGCTCGTACTGCTCAGCCAGGATGGCCAGCTTGCGTGTCTGCTCGTCCTTCAGAGCCTTGAGCACCGTCTTGTGCTCGGCCTTGGGCGTCACCTCCATCTGGTGGTGGCGCAGGGCCTTGTACTGCTTGGTCTGAACCTTGCATGTGTCCTGGAACTGCTTCTTGATCTGCAGCTCCAGAGCCTGGTGGAGGGGACAGAGACAGAGAGGAGAGGCTATGAGGGGGGGGGAGGTCAGCAGGTTAAAGAGTATTATGTTTTTATTTCAAGGTTTGCTGTTGTTCTCCGTCCTGGGTCGAGCCCTGAGAAATCCTGGGTCGTGCCTCAGAGTAAGTAAGTACATTTATTTTGAGGTACTTGTACTCTACTTGGGTATTTCCATGTTATGCTACTTTATACTTCTACTCTTCTTCATTTAAAAGGGATATACAGCTCTGGAACAAATGAAGAGACCACTGCACAATTATCAGTTTCTCTGGTTTTACTCTTTATAGGTATGTGTTTGAGTCAAATTACTCAGTAAAATTACACAGTAAAATGCTACCTGATGCAAAAATACTATCTAGAAATGTCACATGAATAAATATAATTATATACACTCATAAAGGCCATTTTCTGCACAATGTTTACTTCTACTTACTTAAAGGGGACCTATCATGCAAAATGCACTTTGTACGTCTTTTATACATGAATATGTGTCCCCGGTGTTCCAGGGAACTCACCAAGTGTCAGAAAACACAACCCTCTCTATTTCCCTCCATACCCAAATCTCTAAAAAGGGGCTGCAACGGATCTGATAAAAACTGATCCAGATTTGAACACGTTACTGACGTCAGGACGGTGGCGCTACGGCTATTGGGCCAACTCCACCAATCAGGAGGAGACAGCCACGGCCATTGCCGTTCGAAAGCGCTGGAGACGCTGTAGTACATATGCCAGGCCAGTAGATGGTGCTGTTCTCACAGAATCTGCCCTTGCAAAAACAGAGCTAACATTTTTCAAATTGAGTGAAATGAGGCATGGCTAAAATGCATGATCTGTTTGGTATTTTGAAAAAAATAAAGTATAAATATGCCTGATATAGGTATGGTCCTACATTATATTATTCAAATATAGCATGATAGGTCCACTTTAAGACAATTTTTCTGAAAATACAATTGTACTTTTACTTAAGTAGGTTTTAAATGAAGGACTTTTACTTGTAATGGAGTATTTTGACAATAATGTATTGGTGCTTCAGCATCTGAACCCTTCTCCCACCCCTGCTGAAGTTTAAAGGTTTAGAAAAGCCGGCGGCAAAGATCCCTCTGCGTTATCCTCAAGAGCAGATGACACTGAAGTGACTCTCAGAGATGACACATTTAGTGTGTTCTTTCACCATTTTTTCCAACTAATTCATTACATCCACATTGCATCACTGCTTTCTCAAAATCTTTCCAAAGATAGAGACGTTGCTCATTGCTTGCGCCATCTTAGAGGTGGATCCAATTTGTGATTTCAAAGACTTATGAAAAAAATGCATCATTAAAGCACCTGCGACAATAACCACATCTTTGAAAGAGTTTTTTCCCCGACTCACTTTGAGGTTCTTGGGCTGCTGCCGGAGCTCCAGCACGTGTTTGCGGTGGAGTTCTCGCTCTCGCCGGTTGTTGTACTCGATCTGGTTCTCCAGCTCCGTCTGGTGCTGCAAGCGGATCAGGTCCATGCGCAGCTTCTGCAGCGTCTTCAGCTGCCGGTGCTCCAGCTCCTGCATGGACTCGTCGTGGCGGATCAGCATGGCGTGCTCCATCTCTTTCTGGGTCTTCTTCTTGTTCAGCTCCTAGGAGACATGCAGGAGGAGAGGGCAATGATGTAGCAGCAGGTGCTATTGGTGAACCTTCTGGGATCAGCTTGTTTTATATGCTTGATTCACATTTAAATAACTTGTTGTCCGTTCGTCATTTGGCATAATGGCAGCCCACTGCTCCTTACACTATGATGGGTCGAATGCAGAATGTACATTTCCCCTCTATGGGACTAGTAAGCGTATACAAAATAAAAATAATAAATACAAAATATGTTGCTATATTCAACAGCTTAACAATCAATACATATCACAAATTAAAACGTTCCTATTTTTTTTAAAGCAAAACATTGAAAGTATAACTTAAAATGTAACTCAGAGGGTGATGTAGGGGAAATACAAAATACCCTAAGACTCCACAAAAGAGCTTTTCTCTGTAATAATCTTCTTACACTTCACAGATCTAAAGACAATGGGTGTATTCAGGACACACTGGTCTTTAACACTGTTGTTGTTGTTGTTGTTGTTGTTGTTGTTGTAATGAAACTATTATCAAATTATTTATTCACAAAAACAACAACTTTAAGGTTCTTTCGCACCTCTCGGATCTGCTCCTGCTCCAGGTCGTGCCTCTTGATCATGACTTTGCGCTTGAAGGCGCGGCAGTTCCTGTCGTAGAACACTCTCTGCTGGGCCAGCAGCATGGCCTCCTCCTCGGCCTGGGAGTGCTGCATGTTCTCCTTGTGCTTGGACAGGCGCTCCTGCTTCTCCTTCTTGGGTGTGCTGTGGTCCTCGTTCATCTCCTGAGAGAGAATCAGAATCAGAATCAGGTTTATTACCAGGTAGGTTGACACGTACGAGGAATATCCACATGGTGTCGTGGTGCATACATAAAAGTAAAACAAAATGTAAAAAAACAGATAGAGAAATATTATAAGAAAACTATAATAACATTACAAATGATAAAACATATAGTAAAATAAAATATAGCAGTATTTACAATTAAATAGAATGGAATCAAATATGTGCAGTAATAATAAAAAAACAAAACAGATATTGTTTACATTAATGTAATGCAGAGAGTCTGCTAAAGTTCAAAGCAGAGAGCTGGAGGAATTATGAATGACTTGTTTTAATAATGACAGGTCAAAAAGCAGAGTCAGAGTCACATTTAGGCCGTGGCCAGTTATTAAGGAATTTGAGCTGTGATTTAAGTTTGACTTGTGTAGGCAAATATGAGTTTAACTGGCAAAATAAAAACAATGGTAAGAATGGGAGTAGCTATTGTGGGCTGTTGGGGAGGAACTATGTCTTCATATTTTACATTAAAACAATTAAATAGTCTAAAGTAGCAGAAAATGTCCAAACAATGTATTTCACGTGCATGTTTTGAATGTGATAATAAACAATGCTTCCATAAATACTGCCTAAATAGAGACTAGTGTTCACAATATCAAGTATTTGCAGTGAGAGCATACGGCAAACTCCAGTTGACCTTCTGTCTAGAAACTACAAATGACTTTCATAACCAGAGGAGGGTTGTATTTTTCCTTTCAAACAAGTCTATCCCTCCTCGGTATGAGTTCTCTTTCTCTTTCATGGGCTTTAAGGTAATCTACAACTCGAGCTAATGCACTTAGCACATGAGCCTGATCCCCGTTCTCTGTGGTGTCTAATTCCGTTACAGCCCTCAGTTGGTGGGAAATATCTCTGCCTGCCAGCAATGCTTTCTTTTAACTGTGCTGCTGACCTAATTTTGGTCACTTATCTTCTAACTGAAAACACAGTGTTTCGCACTCCCAGCCCACTGGAGTATTCTCTGGACTCACATAGAAGGCTGTGGAGGCACATGAACGCCACACTGTGCGTATGGTTTTGTGGGTTTCCTTGTTTGTGTCAATGTACATGTGTAGGTACAAAATGAGTAGGCTGAGTGACTCATCACAACTTCCAAAAGAGCGCTTTTGGAGGTACTGAATGTGCATGTTGGTGTGGAGGAGGGCTGATTCAACAGTAAACAGCATGCTGGACCATGTGTCACACGCCAGAGAGGCTTTCAAAAGGAGAAAAAGGAAAGCAACAAAACGCGGCGCACCTCCTTAATCTTCTCCTTGCAGAGTTTGTACTGCTTCTTTTGATTATCCAGGAAGGTGGTCAGCTCCTTCTTCTGCTGGGCCACGATCTGCTGCTGGAACTTCTTCTCATCCGCCATCGCCGTCTTCATCTGGTGGACACATGAAACGAGAAGGAAAAAAGAGCTAGGGCCGTTAGCAGCGGAAATAATAATCTTAAGTACTAAGAGATAAATGAACAAATAATGAATAAACATTCTTAAAAATTATAAATGTTTTAGTCAACAAAAGGTGCCCAGTCATGGACCGATGATAGGATTAGCCATGTTCCTGTTTCTTTATCATTTAAATCTGTATATTCTTTTGTTTTGGGCTGTTTGTCAGACAAACAAATAGTAAGATGAAACCTTCAGGTCACAGAAACTTTAACAGAAGTTTTGAACTACATGGTATTGACAAAAATCATATATATATATTAATCAATAGAGATTCTGCAGATAAATGATTAATTATTTGTTGGCTGAAGCCCTCAGAGTTCTGTTGGATAACTTTGTATCTGTTTGTCATGTATAATATATGAAAGTATGACCAGTTAAAGAGACTGGACTTGTCGGTTTGATTCAACTTTTCATGTTATTGGCTGTAACTAATATCAGTTTATATAAATGTAAAGGAAATTACAATATGCGTACATTTGTCTTGATAGGAGATTAATAATGACAGTGCAGGAGTCCGTCTCCAGGATAACAAAACATTAATATGATCCATAAAAATAAACAGCTAAAACCACTTTTTCCAGACAAGAGGCCTGTTGGTGTTTTCTTATGAAGCCAATGTCTAGTGTCCTTTTGGTTTGGCTAATTTGACTTGTCTCTCATATGCGACATTGTGTGCTGGCCTACAGAAACAGATGTACTATCTCCATGGCTGGGCCGGCAAGCTGCGTGCTAATCACAGAGATATGCAGCTTGTTCTTCAGAGTGGGACATTCTGTGACCCACTTCTGCCCTTGTGTTTCATCCTATGTGTCATTGGGTGGCAGCAGTGCTCAACACAACTTTTCATAGCATTCAATATAAAACTTTAGGGTTCAAAAAGTTCGTTTTTTAAAACATTATTGCCCTTTCCTCAGCTTTAGAATAGTTTGAACATCATGGCCTCCCCTCCTTATCCCCCAGCTAACTGTTGCATGGCACATGTTGCTCAGAGCGATCATCAGGATATGACTTAGGGTTCCTATAAGCTTCAACACTCTTCAGATATCCCACCTCCTTCTCAGAATGCACGGCGTGGCGCTTGGCCAGCTTCTCCAGCTCGATGTAGGCGTTGTTGGCCTGCGTCTCCACCTCCTTCTGCAGCTTGAGCCGGTGCTCGTCCATCTCGGCCTTCAGCTTGTTCTCCAGGGCGATCAGCTGCTTCTGGTGTTGCCGCCGCATGCGCTTGTATCCCGACATCTGCTCCCGCAGCTCGCTCTCCTGCTCATGCTCGTGGATCTGCTTGGTCACCTGTGGAGGAAGAGAAGTTAGGAAATGTGATGTCTGACTTTTCATCAGACCAAAAAAATGAATTATTTAACAGAACTGTTCACAGGTTTTAAAAGGCTTGGCCAAAATTCTAAACTTTGTGAATAGGCAAAAATGAAGAACACGTTTTTGTTTCCTCAAATAGAACCTAAAACAGAATGTATTCAATACAGTTAAGCATTACAACGCAACTTTTAGTGTTACATATATCGGTTTTACAGAGACAAGAAAAGCTATTAACCTGTGATGGGGAAAAAAGGACTTAAATAAAGAAATACTGTGAAAACCCTGAAGATGAAGTAACAAGTAGAGCCTAACAAAAGCTCTTTCATCTGACCATTCCACACACACACACACACACACACACACACACACACACACACACACACACACACACACACACACACACACACACACACACACACACACACACACACACACACACCGCAGAGCTCGGGCATCAGAAAGGATCTGAACCCTCTTTAAGTCAGACGGAGAGAGAACACATTTACATTTATATCATGATAAGTGTAATCTAAAAGAAGGACAATTATGTCACTCAACAACAATGACACCCATCTTTCTTTTTTCTTTTTTTGCAAAACCTGACCACCCCCGCAACACCAACCTGAGGACAGAAAGGGTTCTCCACGTCTAGGTAGTACTCGCTCCGCATCTTCTCATAACTCCCACCTGAACTCCTCAGGCCAAACATGATGGCAAATTTTAGCCAAGTGCACCGGCATCCAGGAACCTTGTGCAGCATCCTCTGCCCGACAGAACCCCGCCTGAGCTCCGATGCCACCCTGAGACCCACCCTTACTGGACGACCACCCCCCCCCTCTTCTTCTTCTTCTTCTCGTGGCAGGCGTGTGAACTGTGAATGAGGCAGGCCGCCCGCGCCGGCCAACAAGAGCACAGAGCGCCTCTTTAGTTGGGCTAACGCTAAGCGGCGGACAGCAGGTGGGTCACATGAATACCTCATTGAGTAGGAGTGAGAGAAGTTGGAGAGGGGGGGTTGGATAGGAGAAGGCATTAAAAACTGAGGGAGGGGGGTGGGAGGTGTTTGCAAAGGAGAAACAGCTAATTCAGAGTGACTGGGAGAAAGTTGAATAAAAAAAATGCCAATAACTAGAAAGAGAATAAGAGCATCTAGAAGAGAAAATGGGGTGGAGTTGGGGGGTTTGTCCTGAAAAAAGGTGGAGGTGGAACCCCCAGCCCCCCTTAATCTGTGCTGATTAGCTCCCAATCCTAGTCACTTGCTTCGCTGCCACCCTTCGTGCTGCATCAAAGGGCCAAGTCACGTCATGTGACGGCCTCTTTCACACAAGGTGTGTGTGTGTGTGTGTGTGTGTGTGTGTGTGTGTGTGTGTGTGTGTGTGTGTGTGTGTGTGTGTGTGTGTGTGTGTGTGTGTGTGTGTGTGTGTGTGTGTGTGTGTGTGTGTGTGTGTGTGTGTGGAGGGTAAGAGGGGCATGCAGGCTAAAGGTGGAATTAAGCAGCTGATCTCAGTTATTTGCTTATGTTGTTCAATTTGCTGTTATCGAAGTACTGCAAGGATATGATTTGTGGAAAAAAGGAAATGCTGTGCTGGTGGTTGGGAATTAGCAAATAAGTAGGGCAAGCACTCACACATTGTCTTCTTACTTTGTTGTTGGTATCAAATTAATAGCATTAACAGAGAGGCAGTTCTGTTTTCACTGTTATCCTGCCAGAATGCAGGGTTGAAAAGAAGGCATTCAATTTGCTGAAAATGGATGATGGTCTTCAGAAGATTGTAATCTTTTTATCGCCTGGAGCTATTTTGTCCTTGAGGAGTGCAAAAGGAGTATTTATTTGTTCTAAAAGGAGAAAAGAGATGCATCCTTAAAAACAAGTATGCCATTTTTTGAGTGAGAAATGTTCTTAAATCATTAGAAGCCTCAATCTGCTCTTCAGGTCTGTCAGGTAAGAGACCAAAGAAGAAAACAATGCCCTGAATGAAGCTACAGATGTATAGTAACATGTGGGGAGGTCATTTGGCTAAAGAGGGGAAGCAAAAGCCTCTCCAGACCCTTCTTTACTGTCAAGTTTTCCTGTCAATGTTGGGGACTCTTTGTCTCATATGTCTCTTTGGATCCCAAAGCAACTGCAAAAATACATTGGGTTTAACCACAGCCTCCCATCTCTACATATGAAATATATATTTTAATTATTTTCTGCTATATAAATACATGGCAGATTTGTTGTGTAAGTGTCGTTTGACGGGGAAGGTGCATGTTTCTTAAACTCGACTGATCTGCTGGTCTTTTGTTGAGCGGCAGATGATGTGAAATCTCCTACAATGTCGTCTTTACACCAGCCTTCAGTCAGTTGACCTATAATAACCCCTGCCCTCCCTCCCACTCTGTATGTCCTCTCACATTGGTTCTGTATGTCTTTACACCCATCTCTTTCTGCTGTTTCCTTCCCTCCTCACCCTTGTCCCTTTTTCCGTCTCCAATGTTTTTTTCATTCTGCTCTCATCTGTCCTTCTCTTCAGTTTTTCCCGTCGTTCTTCTTCTCTGTTTCCATGTTTCCCCTTCAGATCGGACTCTGTGTCACCTCTGCCTCTCTCTCCCTTGTCCTGCTTTGACAGTCCAGATTTAATCTGCACTGCTCTTGTGTCTCACCTCTGTTTGCTTATCTGTCCTTCGCCCTGATATCTCCTCCACATCGTCCTTACCTTCACTAGCCAACATCCTCTATCATTTCATTTAATCTCCCTCCATCACTATCATTTCCTCGTTTGTCTTTGCAAATAGCACATTTCTCACTCAGGAATTTGTATACTTGTTTTATGGAGGATGTAACTTCTTCCAGACGGTACATGTTTTCATATTTCTCCTGCTCTTCGTCTTCTCATCTCTTTCCCTTCTCTGGCGATCCCTCTCTCGTCTCACCATCTGGACCCCCCGTTCGTGTCTCTCCCTCTCCCTTTGTCTACCTGCTGATTCCAGTCTCAGCGAGCCGAGGCCAATCTGAGGACGTCTGCGCTCGGCAGAAAAAGATGATGTCATCTCTGTTTGAGCGCCGGCGGGCAGGACTGGTGCTATCACACAACACAGACACCGTGGTTTACACCATGCCGCCTCTTTTCAAGACGGGCAGCCTCAGTTACACAGAGCTGCTAGGTATCTTAGTGTTTTGTCATGAGAGGACCTGCTACAAATCTATGACAATTAAAAGTTGTGTGTTTTGTGACAATATTTCTAATTTCATGAGATAAACTCTCAAAAATAACTACAACCATCACAATTGACGAGTACCTTTCTTATCATTTTGTCTCATCTTTTCTTACGTGACATTAAATGGCGTTTTGAGGTATACGTAACCAATACTTTGTTCTATGGTTTAATTTACTGGATGATTTTACGTTTTCAGGACTCTCAAATGTATTCATACTATCAGGAAAATGCTTATTTGGTCTCAGCTGAACCAGGGACGAGTGTTTGCAAAAAGAAATGGCTCCTTTTTGAGTCAACAAGGTTGGCTGGTATAGAGGCTTCTGAGCATAATAGTGAAAAGGCTTCTCACAGTGAGACAAAGGGAGCTGATGTCATGCTTATTTGTTTAGTAAGGTTTAATTCTTCTAGCAATGCAGTCAATTGATTAAGTGTGTATTAGGGTGGATTATCTTCATCAATTTTCTCTATGAGGAATTTTAGACCTATATTTATTTTTTAACATCCTAGAATTTCTGCTGCACTGAATCGTACTCTTCCAATGGATGAAGAATGGCTGTAAGATTTTAATAAAGCTATATACAGTTGTGTGCGACTACAGATAAAGGCGACCTGGACTTGGTTCACACTCTGATCAAGGTCAGCACGAGGACACACGTCTTCTTTGCTCATGTTCCTCGTGTCTGGTTTAAGACCACTGGGTCATGGATGGGTAAACAAACACACTCACATACGCTTACACACAACACTACTACTAGTTACTCGAGCCGGTTTCCATGACAACAGACATGAAGGGAGGGAGAGAAGGAGAATATTCCTCCCTCTTCAACTCAGACTGTAGAGTCAGATCAAAGAATGATGTATTATAAAGTGCAGGAGAGGAGGAAATAAAAGGAGAGGGGAGGGAGGGGAGCAGGAATATAAAGCGTAGTAAAAGGAGGAAAGACAGCAGAGAAGAAGAGAAAGGCTGTATAGTTGCAGAAGACTGGAGACAAAGAGTCAGAGAAGGTGATGACCAAAAGATGGGTCGACAGGAGGAAAACTAAAACTAAATATATAGGTGGGGCCAAAAGAGAAAGGCAGGGTTGATATTAAAACTAAAGTTTGTTCAAAAAGGATCCACATGTCATTTCTTGGAGATATCAAATCCAGCCTCAATGTCCTGCGGCCACATTTGCAGACAGGTTTTAACAGAGAGAGACAAAAAAAGCCCCCTGTGCGCCCTAGTATTCTGCAATGGTGTGAATATGACATTCTGAGAAAAAACGCTGCTTCAGCAAGAAGCAGTTTTTCCAATTGTTGGGGGACTTATATCAACACAACTTTCAAAGTGGATGCTGCACAAAAAAATGATCCTGAAACCAAACACATAACAAGGCTGTTACAGGTTCCCAGGAAGAGGAAGGAGAACAACAGAGGAAGGAGTTGAGATAAACCTACCAGAGAGGCTGATTTGATGGTGGCGAAGCGGCTCTGGTTCTTGTAGTTCTGGGCCTGGCTGCTCTTGTCGGAGGAGGACGGCCGCAGCCCTTGCAGTTGGTCCCGGTGGTTCCCATCGTCCCAGTTGTACTGTTGGTCCTGTGACACACACACACACACACACACACACACACACACACACACACACACACACACACACACACACACACACACACACACACACACACACACACACACACACACACACACACACACACACACACACACACACACACACACACACACACACACACACACACACACACACACAGTCAATAGCCATAAAACATTCATTATCACCATGTTTTGGGAATCTATAAATCAGGCTATGAATGATACATGAACAAACCTGCAAGGAAACACCTTCAAAATAAAGGTATGTTTGAAACGGAAAAGTTTGGTGCATGTAAAAGCTACTTAAATGGAGATATCTTCCTCATACATATCCTATACATTTAGTTAGACACTAAAATATATGGTTTACTTTCTAAAAAAACGAAAATAGACAAAGTGTAGTTAAATAAAAAATGTAAATGTGTATTTCGGATGTTTTTCTTCCAACCAGTCTGGAAAGGCACGTTATGGAAGCAAAATATCCAATACTTAAATAATTAAACATTGCTTGTAGATAGATGTTTTTGTAGGTAGTGTTTTGCCTTACAATAATGCAAGAACAAATGGCACTGTTGTGAACTTGAAGGTGCCACAGGACACTTCACACTGCCTCATTTCTTAGGCCCCGGCTCCACGAGGACGAAAACGGGTTGAATCCGCATATTTCTCATGCGTATAGCCCTCTAAGCTCGACGACGCCGTAAGGGAAACGTAGAAACAGACCCCGCAAACGACAACGGGTCCAAAGGTGGATAGATCTGGGAACGGAGCGCTCTGGGGGGTCCAACGGGGCCGTGGAGTCGCCTATACGGTCATTCGTTTTCATAACCCCGCCTCTCCCCCGCAGGGTTGCTATCGTGCTCCAGTCGCTACTGACCATGCTACAGTTCTTTGTGCAACATCTACAGGAGCTCCTCCTTGAATTCAGATTATTTATCTTTATCTCGATATGGACATAAACGCGAGTGAAGTCTAATCTGACAGGACGGAGACACGCAGCTCCTCCCGCTGTGATGCAGCGGGAGCAAAACCCACACTTCAAGTCAGATCATCACCCTTAGCTATTTTAATTACCTCTCAAACTACCTAAACTAGTTATAAATATGTTTATTTTTACTGTCGGGTCACTCATTACAGGATCAGCTGCTGCATGAGACAGACACTGACGCTGTCAGAAGAGAGGAAAAAGAGACAGGCTCCGTGTATTTGATGATTATATATCATTATATCGTCGTTATTCATTTGTTTTAAAGCTCAATAAATAACAATGAAGACCTTTGACCGGCACTTTTATAATTTTGTCCGGAAGATTTAAACTTTAACACACGTTGACCGGCGAAAAACTCTGCCCGGTTCTGTCGGCCCCCACCGCGGAGAATAAACAGAAGTGCAGCCATGACAACCATTCTTCTTCGCTGCTTTTGTGGAGGAAGTTGCTGCTTTTGTGGAGGAAGTTACAGCGCCACGTACAGGTTCGGCATATGTACTGCAGCTTTCCCAGCGGTTGGATGTAAACGGAGCCGTCTCGTGGAGCTTGACACAATCCGGTGTATATTGCGTGGGGACGGAAGGTTTTTTGCGGTTGCATTTGCGTTACTCCGATGCGTTTTGCCGTATTTGTCCTCGTGGAGCCGGGGCCTTAGTGAAAAACCGTGGCAGTGTTAAATCGACATCATTCTGTGACTTTTTAAATAAGAAAATTCCCCGTTGATGTGAATGGTACGACTTCTAGACTTCAAAAGGCATCTAGGGCATCTAAGGCTGCAGAAACTGTGTCAACCATAAGCGGAACATCAAAAAATGTCTACACTAACAACAACACCCCCTCCCCCAGCATTAAAAACTGATTTCAGGACCCAGGGGACCAAAGAGTTGATTCATGTGAGGAGGGGGACTTCATCAGCATGTGAAAACAATATGCGTCACTGTCACTTGTTCTCAGCTCAGCCCCTGAACTTGAAACACACTGGCTGTCTGTTCATGGAGTGTCGTCCTTATTCATGCACTGTCATATTTACAAAGAGCGGATGAAGAAAGAGAATGAAAGAGCAGTGTCAGCCCTCTCTTGACAGATGTTTAAGTCACATGAGAACGTCAGGCATTGTGTTGACCTGTGTGTGTGTGTGTGTGTGTGTGTGTGTGTGTGTGTGTGTGTGTGTGTGTGTGTGTGGGATGACAGAGCTGTAAGTAGGGGGAGTGTGTGCTGCTTGTCGACATGTGTACACAGCCTTTGTTCTTGAGTGTGAGCGGTGTTTGTGATGATCTTGAAGCGGTCTGCCAAACAGTGAGGACTGTGTCGATGGTTTCCATGGTTTCAAAGGGGGAGGGGATTACGCATACACTTGAAATAGTAAAGGAAATCCAGAGATGTGTGAACAGAGGCATGTGTCCTTTGGTTGTGTGTTTTTATGCACTCACTGAGTACTAGTGATTTTTAGAAAGCCAAGTGTTTATCTCTATATCCTAAGGTCCTAAAAATGGATTGGAAATCAATGACATTTCAAGGCCAGGTAGGCCTTATGCTAATGTTTAATGATAGACTTTTGTGGTTATCTAGATTTGAAATGTTATCCATTAGATATTTTTCTTCTTCTTTATTAGCCAAAATGAAACACTAATCTTTAAGCATGGGACTTGCAGAGACAATAAGTTAGAGCAGCGCCTCCAAACCAGAGGCACATTAAATCTAGGGTATACTTCAGCAGTTGTCAAAGGGCTTTTGGAAACATATACGGTAAAAATAAATAATCATATTTTAACATCATTTAGAAACATTCGTGATATTGATTTTTGGTTGCAAAGATTAGTGCTGATTCCATGGGTGTTTCAGAGCTTGAGTACCAATTGGCAACTTTGAGGACCCATGAGGGAAATCAAAATGTGGGGTTTAAACTTGTGTCCATTATATCAAACTCTCCTGGTGTCTTTAAAAATCGTATTTTTTGTAAACACTTAGTGGGCTGCCAATTAACCAACAGTAATTGTCTCAAAGAAATGCACAATAAATATAAAATTAGGCCTGTTGCAACCAGTATGACACATGTTAATCAACTAGTCCTTGTAATAAATAGATCTGTTTTAATATGATGTAGCACCCTGTCTCTGCAGTAAGCCATGTTAGTATTTTTATACCAATATATGACTTTGTTTTGTTGAATTACACCTTATCTGTCTAAGGCCCTTTAATTATTGGAACAAGCTTTTGTTATGTTTTCCTACAATACCTTATACAGTGTTTTGTTTCTGTTGTGGCAGGGCGGTTAAGACCGGATTCACACTGCCTCTCCACCATGAACTTAAACCTCTAGTTCAATTTGTAGTTTTCAACTTTTAGCAGCACTTCAAAGGTGTGTCTGTGCCAAAGGGTTCATTCTGACAACTTGTGTATGTATGACTTGTACCTTCTTTGTGTGCGGGGAGGATTCCAGGGTGCTGCTGTAGTCCTGTGGGTGCATCATGGTCATCTCGGAGCAGCTGTCGTCCAGCACCTCCTGCATGCTGTTCACGCTGCTGCTCTGGCTGCCTGTGCTGACCGAGGTGCTCGGGATGGAGTGGTTGCTTCCCAGGCTGTTCATCTTACAGCTGGCTGCCTCGCTGTCCTGCAACAGAACATCCACACAATCACATTAAAAAACACAAATATACACTCAAGAGTCAGCTCCAATAGATACAGGCTCCTGCAAATGTTTAAGGAAGTCACCTCAATACAAGGAAATACAACTTTTGGTTGTATCAGAATCATGCTAAAGTGCCTGTTGACTTTACATTTGCCTGTGTGTGTTTGAGTGTCATTCTTATGTTATTGCACATCTGTAAGCCTGAGATCTATTCAGATTAGATGGCCACTTGATTGTGTGTACATGATAAATTAAGGGAATAAAGCTGCACAACTATTAGGTGCAGGTGAATATTCAGTTAAGTCTGCAGTAACAGACTGTATCAGGATAATATACCCAGTCTTTTAAAATGACAGTTTCTGGTTCTTTGGGTAACATCACTATCCTATCCTCAGACTTTGTCCTGTGAATCTGAGCTTCATAATTCCTGCCTGTTGCCCCAATCAAGTGAACAACTTGAAAAGTGCATCCATCCACAACTTGAAAAGTGCATACATTTTTGCAACAAAATGGATGCACTGCAGTAGAGATGATAAAAATGACGTAAATCGAATCATTGTATTTGTATAAAGAGATAGTTATACAAATTGTTACTTCCAGCCTCTCAAATGTCATTTTATTTAGATTTTCTCTGTTTAATATTATTAAGAACTGAGTTTGTAAGTGGTTACTACTGTTTAGCGGGAAAAAAATGTAAACTTGCACTCTAGGAAATAGTGTATATTTTAAGACCAAACAATAATCAATTCATCTAGAAAATGGCTGGCAGAATGTTTTAGCCCTAAACTGATTGATTTAGCCTGTGCCTGACCAACTGGTATTTATTCTCTATTTTATCAATGAGTGTCTCTGTTGGCTTTATCATAGTTGTTGCTGTACACTGTGGACTTGTTATGTGTGTGTTATCTTTCTATGATAGTAAAGCTGAAATAAATGTGGTTTTACACAAAATCATTGTGTGAACATTGGAGAATTGTGAACTGAATTTAAATGGAGCTTGACTGGTTGGATGGTTTTTAACCCCTTGTTTTCCACTTGTATCCCTTTACAGTTACTCTTGACAGACTCTGTAATGTTTGTATCTCTGTATTATTTGTATAACGCTGATCTTTAAAATTAGGCCCTCCCACCTCCTCCTCTTCCTGGCTCTCTCCCATTGGTCCGTTGTGCTTCTCCTGGTAGAGGATCTTCTTCATCTTGCGGTACTGCAGGTTGTCCAGCTCCCGCACCGCATCCTTGGTCCTCTGGATGAGTTCCAGCAGAATGCGCGGCGAGCGTTCCCGACGCACAAAATCATGCTGAGAGAAGAAGAGGGAGAAAGTGAGTTAGTCGGTTGGTTGGGTTAGAAGTTATCTAAAGAGGGTTTGAGGGAGGAAACAATTGGTTTAGACATTTTTAAAATGTAGTTTTCTTTATACATTAAAGGTGGGGTAGGTAAGTTTGAGAAACCGGCTCGAGATACACTTTTTGTTATATTCCATGGAATGCTCTTAACATCCCGATAGCAATGAATATCTTAAGTGCTTTGACAAAAAATCCATAAAAAAATGTAATCTGTGGAAGCCGTAGTACTGTAAAAAGCACGACCAATCATTTGAGCCGGCCCGGCTAAAATAACTGGATGGCCTACCTGCCTGTCAGCCTTCCATCTGTGCACAAACCTATCTCGTGCCCTCATTGGTCATGTGCGCGTTCGTGTGTGTTGGAGGCGGGGCTCTATAAGGAAGTGGCAGATTTTCTCCGGTCGTGTATTTTCAAATTCTAGCGATCTTGAGCTGGTTTCTCCAAAATTACCTACCCCACCTTTAACCTGGAATAATTAGTCATGTTTCTAGTTCAGTCTTTATACCAGACATTTTATCAATGCTTAATTTTACACAAAAACAAATGTACATATATCTACAAGGTTTTCTCTTTTTCAAAAATGTTAAGCTGAATACAATTTTTAAAGATTCCATCTTAACATTAAAATTCAATTAATATCCTAATTTAAATGTTAATAGGTTAAATTGTACAAATGGTCTTTTTATACTTTTTTTAAAAACCTGGATTAATTAATCATGTTTCATTTTAAGACAACTAGAACAATATATTTCTTACAGACTACATGTTGACATTGAAATGCATTTAACCTTTTGATATTATTAGGCTAAATTATTAACATCTTTAAGAAATAATGTAAAAAAGTGGTGTGTGCTGTAAAGGATGTAGGAGCTTTAAATAATATTTTGAGTAACTCAAAATGATGGTTTTAGAACATCTAAGGGCCACAGGACTTTGATGTTTTTACATGCTCTGTTCTCAAAGATCTCATTAGTTGTGAATATAGGATATCTAATTTACTAAAGTATTTTACTGCCTGCTACTTTTTTCACAAAATTTACTTTTTGAACAGGCAGAGCAACTGTGACTATCACTAGAGGGCGCCTGTAGGTTGCTCTGCCCATTCTGAGAGTCCCAGCATGCTTCATTCTGTAGTACACTGAACACATGATATCTGTGAAAGATTGTCCATAAATTCGAATTGCATAAATACTCATAATCCTTTTCAGTCCAATTAATTATGTCTGAAGTGTAATTCCCTTGGCACCAAGTTAAAGACAGCTTCAAAAACATTGTACAACCATCGAGTAACAAGCTTACAATTAATTAGGAGGTTTCAGGCTTTTAATCTCAATCATTTAGTTTGTACTTTCGAGTAAGCCTACAAACATTTACGTCTCATTGGAAGCTGGATTTAATTACCCAGTCATGTATACACACTGGATATTTTAGCAACCTCAAATGTCTTACTTAGATTTTTTTCCTGTAACATTAATATTTCAAAAATGGTCAGATTTATTTAAAAGAATATAACGAATCATGTTTCCAAGATTATTTGTTGTTTTTCCAACAGTTTTACACTAATCTGCTGTGACCAGTTCTACTGTAAGGAACACACCTTCCTGTAATTTGATGTTAGGTGTACTTCGGTGGAGGTTGAGGCATTATGCATTTATGTAATTACTTATTTTGTGTTACATAAGCAGCAGGTCAGAGTGGGTGTGCAGGGCTGGTGGGGTTTGGGTAAGAATGACATGGTGTATGTTGTTCAAATGAATGTATTTTTTTTAAGCATTGAACTGTACTGACATCAGGATGAAAATAAAACACTCCCCTGCTCTTCTACCCACTCCACTACACACACACACACACACATATTCACACCTCCCCTTAGTCACTCTCATTCATAAAATATGTTGAGCTAAATCACTGAAATGTATGCAACCACAGAGTACAGGACTATATATACTGTATAAAAAAACCTATATTTTTAGGTCTATTTCCAGCTTTCTGTCACTGCACACCGTCCTCTCCATGTGACAGATGCTGGTGTAATGGGTTAGTCAGGACACCAGGGAATGACATCACACTCTGAAAATAGAGATGGGAGAGATTTGTCCCGTTTTCTGACGGACCAAAACCAGAGTGTGGGTGGTCCCCCCTCCCCTCTCCCATCGACCAGCAGGAAGTTATCTCTGGGATTCATTATAAGTTAGAATGAAGCGACATAATCTGAATTTATACTGTAGCATCACCAGCTTCTTCTACCAAAAGTATTAATCCTTACTCGGAGATTTATCCGTGAGGTATTGTGATGTTAAATGTGAGTGCACTCGAGACGAAATACTTTCTGAGTATTATTCTTAAAAATGTAAAACCTCCACCGCTTATGTAGAAAAGGAGATAAGAGAATGAATATTATTATTCAGTTTTGTTCTTCAACTTATGTTACGCATTTTATTTGTCATAATTTGGTTATCTTAATTTATGAAGTGGTATTTTTTTCCTCTTTCCTATCCTTGATTTTATGTTAATTTTAATGTATATTGTTTCTTTATTGTAAATCATATTGTGTGGCATTTTTTGTACCAAAGATGCTATACAAACTAAATATATTTACCTTATATTATTAATAAATGAATGGTTGAGGATCTTTTTAAATATCCCTCTTCTCTTCCTTTCCAGGAGTTACATTAACAGAAATAGTGCTGGAACCAAAACTTGGTTAGCTTAGCCTAGCATAAAGAAAGGAAACAGCTAGCATTGCTCTGCTAGCTCTAGCTCCATATTTATCAAACAGATAGCGTCAGTCTTGACATCTGACTCTCAAAAAGAAAACTAATCCACAAATAATGTATCGCCAAAATATTTTACAATAATTTTCTAAATTGAACCAAGACATAAAGGAAATTGCCATTGACTGGTTCCAGCTTGTTAAATGTGAATTTTCTGCTTTTTCATTTAAATATATTCATGTAAATGTAATTACTTAATTATTGATTGTCTGTACTCATGAGAGGTCAATTAGAGGTCATAATTACTTTTATAATTACTATTACTCTTAACAAGGCATACAGGGTGAGTTTAACCTGAAGCCAGAACACTGATAGCTCAAGGCCCCCAGATTAGTGACCTGATTTCCCCTTTAAAGAGCTTGGAGGGGCGTGTGCCTGTGTCCCTGTGTGCCTTTGCAAAAATTGATTTTGTGTGTGTGTGAGAAGAGAAAGTGGGGTTTTAATCACAGGCTAACACCCCACCCCCCACCCCCTCATTCTAAAGCAGCCCCTTCGACACTGATCCCAAGTCTGTTGGGTACTTATCCCTCTTTAATGTGTTTTCGGACAGGATTTGGGTCAGGGGTGTTGGGAAGAGTGAATACCAGCCTAAACTTTGATCCTATCCAGGCGAGAGTCCAGAGCCCTTTATTTGAGCTACCCTCAGGTTGAGCAGGTGGGAAAACTCCTGCTGGAGCCCCCACACTGTTGAGCGTGATTCCCAAGAACATAAAACTCTTAGTGGACCAATGGGATTACCTTTTGGTCACACAAACAAAAAGATCAACCCCTGGATAACAGGGAAACACAAAGAACATGCACAGATTAACACTGTGTAAGTTCATTATGTTTTTGAGTGGATTTAGTTGGTTGTTATTAGGCGGGATGGCTGAAATGCATTATAAAGCCTGATTTGCAGCTGCATTTCAAATGTTTAACCTTTATTTAATGGGACAAATGTGCTTTATATTTAAAAAATAACAGTAGGGAAGGACAAGAAAAGAGGAAATGAGGGTGACATGTCGCAATAGATGATTTTTGGACCTCGGAAACAGCAGTTTGACAAAAATGTGGTCCACTTTTAAGTTGTTTTAAACTTCAGAAAAGTCCCGCCCAAGTTAACCTTGTTATAAACTGATTTGTAAAAAGTATCTTAAAGTTGTATACACATTTTTAAAAAAAAGGCACACCCTGGTGGCCTTGTCACCCCAACTTCTTATCCCATCCTACCCTCTCTTTCTGCCTTCATTTCCTGTCATGTCTCTACTGTAACTTAAAGGCTATTAAGGTCCATGGCTTTGAGGCACAGCACAGGAAGCAAAGTTACAACAAAGAGACAAAAAAAGAGTAAGAAATTCTCAGCGGGGTGCTTGCTTCCTGCGCTTGAAGAATATATTCTTTAGTATTAAGGAGTCGTGGGTGGGTGGGAGTGACTCATCCACAAGGCTCATGGACTGACAGAGACAGGAAGTGAGGTCACAGCTGGAGGGATTACAGAGGAAGCCCACTCACTCTTAGCAGCTCCCCTGACGAGGGTCTGTCCTGAGGAATTTTCAGTAGGCAGTAGTCGACGAAGCTCCGGAAGGGGTCAGACCTGGGTAATGAGAACAGTGAAAATCAAAGACTCCCCTTCCCATTCAAACATTTCTAAATCAGGAAAAGTTCAAGCCAGACACCAGAGGCAAGGTTTGTCATGAACCGGTCCATATTAAGAGTTTTGGTTTAAAGCCTCCCTGCCATGTGTTGTTTCAGACTAGGGGAAAGATCACATCCAAAATAGATGTTGATTTAGTAACTGTGTCTATTTGAGTATGCAGATTTCTCCTTAATTAACCAAAATTACATTAGAGGATGCCTCATTTGCATATTTTAACATTTGTAGAATACAAAATAAGCTTTCCTATTGTAAGGGAACGTTTTTTTTATGGCAATCTATTTGTTACATTGTTTAACATTATTCAACTGAAGTGTCTTGTACATACAAAATGTATTGGATTTTATAATATATATATTTAAAAAAGCTGCTTTCTCAAAATATTCTCATACTCTGGGCTAGGGATGTCCACTTCAGCAGCTCTTACATACACCAATCTTTCTAGTTTTATCCCCGTCTATGTTGTAACGTTATTTTTAGGATTTGTTCATATATTATTCACAGCCTGATTTATAGACATTGCAAACCTGGCTTTATCCAAAGATTTCTGTTGCTGAAATATAAGCAAAAAAGCACAAATTGAAGAAAATTAAGATAAGGTCTTAGTCAGTCTATTTAAAAAAATGTGTAATACATGAGAAATATTGTATTGATGTTAGTAATCAACTGATGAATTCTCACATTGATATCGACTATGGTATCAAATGTTACCATAGTTGACTATTGTCTCCCTATAAGCCCAAATGGTAGGCTGCTTTCCACCACACTTCAATCAAGTCATGAATGTTGCACGTGATGAGTTATCTCTTCCTCTGATGTGCCTATGTTATCATATCAATGAATTAAACCAGAACAATCCTATGTAATCTCTTAGTGTAGCCCCATATATTAACCATATATGGATTATGTAAAAATGTGGAGCAATAAAAATATAGGCCACTGGAGAGATGGATCACAGTGACTTTAATCTAAAAATATACTCCTGATAACCCAGTATAACTAAAACAATGTGATTGGATTTTTTAATTAAAGTAGCCCATAGTGCTATTTAAGATATTGACCCGTAATATGCACATTCAGGGTCTTTGTAGGGTTCACCAATCCACCACAAACTCTAACGTTTTCTGTTGTAAGCCCAGGTCAATGAGTGCAATGTAGTGTGTCATGCCAGTGTGTGTGTGCGGTGTAAACCCAGTGAATGTGAGCTGAAGTTACACTGAGCAGCGGATGTCTGTACTAGTCTCATCTGGAGGGATGTTGCTAACGCCTCAGGCCGTTGGAGCTTCTCCAAAAATACCTCAACCCTGCGCCACCTCACACAATGCTACAAACCAACGCTAATTTTATAACTGCAGCGCATAGGCAGCAAACTTAAAAGACTCCCCCTGCCTCATGTTTCTGATGACAGAGCCTGTGATGTATTCTCTTTTTTAGGGTGTAAAATAAGAACACTGTTATTTAATTGAGAGCTTGGTGGAAGATTCATGAAGGCCACTGATGCCTTCAGGCTGCGCTGAGGCAGGTAGAGAACAACTCTCAACCTTGGCTGCGCACAAGATTCTTGCAACATACGACAAGGAGCAAACACAGACACGACTCTGCATGCTTAGGACCGCACACTTTCATACCACAGTATGATAGCATAAAGAATAACACTGATGTTCTCCATGTTATTTACCTCTAACAAAGGGTTAATATTTGATGAGTGTTGTTTCCCCCATGAGGCCCGCACCTCACATGCAAAGGGTTAGCATTGGCTGCAGTGAAACAGAGGAACTGAGGAATATTTACAGCTTTGCTAATTTCCTGCTTGCAACATTTTATGTCGTTATTTCTTATAGCAAATTTAGATCATCTTCTCTACATATTTACAGTCTACGAATACATCCTCTTATCTGCTGCGTGCAATAATACAACCTGGTTTCTTTCCTCCATTCTTTTATCTCAAGGTTTGTGCAAGCTCATACTCACATTTGCTAGTTAAATAATTATGAGGATGATCTATTTTTACCTAGTTGAGAATTTATAACATGAAATAGCTTAATGTTAACATTATGCTGCAGCTAGCCAAAAATAATGTTTATAAAGTAATGTATCTTAATTTAATTAAAGGTAGGGTAGGTAAGTTTGAGAAACTGGCTCGAGATACACTTTTTGTTATATTCCATGGAATGCTCTTAACATCCCGATAGCAATGAATATCTGAAGTGCTTTGACAAAAAATCCATAAAAAAATGTCATCTGTGGAAGCCGTAGTACTGTAAAAAGCACGACCAATCATTTTAGCCAACCCGGCTAAAATAACTGGATGGCCTACCTGCCTGTCAGCCTTCCATCTGTGCACAAACTTATCTTGTGCCCTCATTGGTCATGTGCGCGTTCGTGTGTGTTGGAGGAGGGGCTCTATAAGGAAGTGGCAGATTTTCTCCGGTTGTGTATTTTCAAATTCTAGCGATCTCGAGCCGGTTTCTCAAACTTACCTACCCTACCTTTAAGTCATTCAAGCAAAATCATCAGCTTAAATTAGAAATCAGGAAATCAGAAATCAGAAATGAGCAATTTCAAAAAACATTTCTTAATTTATTAGGTAAACTTTATGATTATATGAAGAAGCAGCATGAGCCTGACTTCAACACTGTGGCTGAGATGCTGCTGCAAAGAGCTGTTTAAAAGCTGCTGGCCTAAATTAAATCGCTTAAAGTTTTTAGATGTCTGGTAGGACAGTCTCTAGAGAATCTATTAGTGTCTGCTGTGAGGCTGAGAGCAGCATAAAATCCTGGCTGTTTTCCCATAATACATTTAGAAAGCTCAGTGTGTATACAAAGAAACATCCTAGTTAGAATGGAAAACACAAGTTTTTTTAGATAGAGTTCTATCTACTAGAATAATATTAATATAATCACACTGTTTGTTTTGATGCTGTTATACATTTAGACGTGCCTTATAGCCCAGCAGGAACAATGTGGGTATTCACACTGTATTACTGGTAGAGGTTTCCCAGGTAATTAACATAGGAGATTTAAATTGTGACATCGCACAAGGCCTGTTGCAGGGTTCAAAGGTCACGCAGATTAACACAGGGATGTTTTACCCCCAATGAGCACTGATTGGATTGGGCTTTCACGTTCAGTTGTGTGAAAGTATTGTATCAGCAGTTTCTGTGGATTTTTTCTGGTGTTTGTGGAATTTCTTTATATTAAAGGAGAGGTGTCATGCTTTTCCGGTTATTACCCGTCCCCTTGTGTGTTATGAAGGTTTGTATGCATGTAAACGGTGTGCAGAGTCAAAACCCTCAAAGTACACCCTGTAGCGAGTAAAACTCTAACACAGAAAATACCTCCCCAAAACGCCTCGTTGGAGATACGTCATTGTCCATTTGATTCTTCCGGGTACGGCATGATGTCAATCCGTACCGGAACGAAATGGACCAATCCGTGCAGCCGTTACGTTACGTCCGCGGAGCCGTTACGTTAAGCCCCCGCTGATTGGTCCAAATTGACCAATCCACGGACTTCCTCACACACAGGCAGCTCTGCTGATTTCTCCTCCCTGGCTGCAGGCTGATAACAGACAGTTGGGATCGCGGCGAAATTCTCTCTGCAGACCCATTCTCACAGCGTTTATCAACCTTTTTCTTACTCAATATCAAGCCACACTTATTGTTTTTACTTCGGCTGTGAGTTTGTGTGTGCTCAGGATGAGTTTGGCTGTGTTTCTCTATGTATCCTAAACAAGGAAACAACACCTCCACGGAGCTCAGCGCGATTCACAACGTCCCGACCAATCAGAGCACACTGTGCTCACAGGGAGGGTGGGGGCTGGAGCTTTGGGAGCTACAACGAGCCGTTAAAGGCAGAGAGTGAAATTCAGTGAATACACGTAGTTTACAGAGATGCTGTATGAGAAACCAATGTGAGTTTGGAAAAATGCACAGTATAAATCTATTCTAGTATACCTCAACAATGGAATTATGATCAGTGGAAATGGCCATGACATGTCTCCTTTAACATATAACACTTGTTAGACAAGCATATTTTTTTCAAAATATGTTGTAGTTCTTGGGGTTTGACTAGCCACATATCGGACATATTGCCATGAAGGAATGAATGGATGAATGAATGGATGAATGAATGAATGAATGGATGGATGAATGAATGGATGAATGGATGAATGAATGGATGAATGAATGGATGAATGGATGAATGAATGGATGAATGAATGGATGAATGAATGAATGAATGAATGAATGGATGAATGAATGGATGAATGAATGGATGAATGAATGGATGAATGAATGAATGAATGTTCTATATTATTTGAATGACTGATTGAACTCCAGCAGTATTAATCTAGATATGTTATATGTTTAACTGCTATGCCTGCCATCTCTGCTCTGTGTCATCGTGTTGTCTCCTGGGTTCTGTAGTGTTCGGAGTCTGTCTTTTTATTTTCTTCCTCCCAACCCCCATCCCCTCAGGAAGCCTTTTGCCTCCTGTCAGGTCATCATTGAAAATAAGAATTTGTTCTTAATTGATTTTCCTGGCTAAATAAAGGTTCTACTACTACTACTACATATTAGCCTTCTGCAAATTATATTAAAACAATTATAAAAGAGACAATGGTGAATGGTGTGTTTTCAACTCACCACTCATTGGACTGTAGCGTGGGAGAGTCGTTCTGTGCGATGTGATATAAGGCACTCATGGCATTCATGTTGAACAAGGGAGGTTTGCGCTCCGCTAAAATAAGAGAAGATGGGAGAGTCAGAAAAATAAATAAGGGTGTGGATTCAGTGCCAAAGATTTCACAATCACATATCAGCCTCTCCTTAAATGAGGCAGACACAACGTCTCCAAAGCAACCAGGAACAAATAAGATGTATTTGCATGTTTTACAGATTTTTAACCAGCGTAAATCTGTTACATTTCTTACATCAAGGGCCCTTGAATTCACTTTTTGACTAGATGTATGCTCACCCAGTTCAATACAGGTGATCCCCAGCGACCAGATGTCCACCTTTCCCTCGTACTGACCCTCGTCCATGGCTAGGATCACTTCCGGGGCCATCCTGAGGACATGCAAGTGCACAAACATGCATAGTTTATTAAGTACGGGGAAAAATCCACGGAAATGTTATAATCTGCTAAGCTGCTCAGAGCTTTTAAAGACTCTGGTATGCTGTGATAGCAGCTCAGTTTTGTGAAAGTATGTGTGTGTTTCTGTAAAGGCGGAGTGTGAAAACTGAACATTGGTCCAGCTGTTTATGTAATGGCTTTCATCAGCAAAGCTCCATAAAGTGTGTGAGTGAGTATTATGATGGGCAGATAACTCTATATGAGGCAAAAAACAGTATGCATTATTAAATTAATGAAATAAAGTGTCACCGGCTGCATCAATAGTGACCATCTTGAGGCACACTCACCCTTCACTTCACAGTGAATACCCCTATTTATTTTCCTATTAACTTTGTCATTTGTAAGCATAGGTTGACCTAAAATGTCAATTGGGATTTTTATTCAAAGTGACTTGGGGGCAACAACAAGAAGTACTCACTTACTCCAAAATAATTTTTCTTGTAATTTCTATGCAAAGAAAGCACTAAAACAAATACCAAAATGCACTAACACAATTCCCATTTTCCTCATTGTCATTGGTCTCTCGCATATAGACATGTGTGGCGTTCAGTGTTGTGCCATATGTCTCGTGTTTCATGTATACTGACCAGTAAGGTGTTCCCACAAAGGAGTTGGCAGGTGAGGCAATGGAGGCGGAGCCAAAGTCGGCCAGTTTGACCTGACCCAGCTCAGTCAGCAGGATGTTACCAGCTTTCACATCTCTGGGTGGGGAGAGGGGGATGGAGAGAGTGTATTTAGGAAGAGCAACCAAGAGAATTCACATAATTTCCAGGGATCTATTATGCATTATACTTCTCCCTCAAATCTTAATGAACTGGTCACTGATGTGGTGTATTTATAGATGTGATATGTTTATTAATTCCGATAAGGAGATCATGTTTTTCAAGCAGAAAAAATACAAGCCCCTTTTCACTGAAAATTGGTGAAAGGGTGTAGCATGGGCCGAGAAAGAATCCACATTCATTATCAAGGCTCGCTCATTTAGTTGTTAACATTGCAAGATCTGTGCTCCATTCATGGTGTCAGAATAATATGAAAAAAGTAATATCCATCTAAGGGACACTTGAATGCAGCATTGGCTTTGGCGGAGGTCTACCATCACCGAGTGCGACTCTAATTTTATGGGTTTTATGTCATTTTTACAATTCTGCAATGACACATGATGACACAGAACAGTCAAGATGATTCATACAGCCCCATTTAAGACGCTAATCATATTTCCCTTCCATAAAAAAATAACATTGTGGACACCAGTCAAACAGAAGGGTTGTTTCTTGCTCAGTAAGGACCACATGTACCTACAGAGATGACGTTTTACAGCCTAATTAGTAAACGCTCAGTCAGGGAAGTGCATCTCATCTCAGCCTCTTATCATGTTTTTGATAAAGGCACTTCCTTATGGGAGCTAGAGAACAAACTGACTCACCTGTGAATCATATTATGGGAATGTAGGTAAGCCAGTCCTAGCAAGGCACCATGGGTAATGGCAGCAATTTCCAACTCTTGCAGTGGTTTCTTATGAACTGGGGGAGAAATTAGCAGAGTGGAAATGAGTAAAAACCCTCTGAAGACTTTAATTATATAATCATGAAATGTGTTCTTCACAAAGACCTTCATAATAAATAAAGCTTCTTCATTTAGTTGCTGGCATCCAAAACATCACAGTATTAGTAATAAATAAATAAATAAAAACTATAGCAGTGTGCCCTGCTGATATAGCAGTAAGAAAGTAGTTTCTTGGCATCCACCGCATGGATTAACAGTTGTGATAAGGGCTCCTAATCCGGCTCCCTGTGGACTGTTGCAGTAACAGAGAGATTACATGCCAAGGGAAAGGTCACAGCAGAACTATGGCTGAGACATTTCAAAAACAGGCCGGGGCCGACTGTCAGGACCGTGTGCCTGCATCAGTGACGAGCTCACACATAGCTGCTTAAAATAACACAGTGTGTTCAGGTTGGGACTGTTGAGAGGATGGACAGTTTACAATTGCCAATCTAAGTAACTCAGATATGGTCTTTTGTATAATGCATATCATTTGAATCAAAGTGCTCAAATTGGATATAGAAGATATAGAATACGGAAGATATATGTTGTATTATTTAGTTACAAGACCATTTATAGAGTATTTGTTTCTAAATTGTTTTAGTTTTAGGTTCACATTATGTCTGAATAGTGAGAAATAACCACAGGAAACAACCAAAGAACCATCTATGTTTATATATTTATGTTGCTTATTAAAATTGTCTATTGAAGAGTATTCAAATTGAATCAGAATGTTTTATATTGTGTATTATTCACATACTGTAGTGATATGTCTTTTCTACTGTAATTGTGTATATGCTGTTAATGTTATTTTTGATTGATCTGATAGCATGTAGCTAGCTAACCACAGTAAAGCTAAAGCTAACTTATTAACACATGTACAATAAACCACATTTTAAACAAAAGAATTGTTTCTCACAGGTTTTATTTTACATTTGACAGAATATTTCTTGGCCAGGGGAAGAGACTTCCTGAACAAAAATAAGTTTGTGTGCATATTTTGCATATATTTACCCTCTAGTAAATCTGATGCGGAGCCCAGGCAGTACTCCATCACCAGCTGTAACAGAATGCAGATACAACTGATTATTCACATAGTTGGCTTTTCATCATTAAATATCCTCAATACAAAGATTCACATCAAGTTTGTGAATACTTGTGAAAATGTTCTCAACGACAAAGATCGTGTTACTGATAACAACATATGCAGAGAAACTGTAGTGAGAAACACATTCAGTGGGAGATGAAATCAAAAAAGACAAAGAGGCAGGAAGAAAGAAAGAAACTAACAATGTTGCAAGATTAAAACAAAAGATGGGAACTGGGACAAAGGGAGAGACGGATCCACTAACCCAGGCAGTGTTGTCTTTCAAGTAGCATCCTTTGTACTCAATTGTGTTTGGGTGTCGCAGCTGTCCCAAAAACTTGACCTCCTTAATGATGTCCTGCCACTTCTGCCAAAAACAAATTCAGACACACAGATGGTTACACACTACAGGTACAATCCCGGTAACACCTAGGTTGGCATTGCTGTGATTTGATTGTAGTGGCGCAGCTGGCCGCACTGTAGTAACCACTGGTTACTATGAGGTAATATGGTCTTTATACAGGTTTATATGTAGACAGATAGGAATGTTTCTCAATAGCACTGCAATAAGATTAAATTAAAAAGCATATTGAAAATGTAACCAGAAGAGTTTACATAGCAAGTGAAAGCCTCAGCTAGTAAAGAGCTGTGTGACAATGTGTAAGAGTCCTCACATGCAAAACACAGAGTTTATAAATAGAAAAAGGTTTGCACAAAGGACGCATTCTGAAATACGCTTATGCCTAAACTTGTTCCCTGGTTTGCTTGAGGGAGGCACATGTTTGTTCCAAACCTTGCAACCATTGGTGAGCAATTATTTTTAATTATTATTTAATATTGTTCCTTTAGGCCCTAAAGTTAAGGGTAACTAACCATCACAAATGAGAAATCTCAATGTCTCACATGCTACTGTCAGAGCTTGGGTAAATATCATTAGAGAATTACCTTTTCTGCATTTTAAGCACTGTTTGTTACTGGATTTGTGCCAAAGCAAGATAAATTAAAGCTGCGAGCAGCGATGAACAGGTCGTCACACATGTGCTTCAAGGGTCCTAGTGGAGGCCGGTAAACGCTGCTGTGCATTGAAGTGACCATTCGAGATGGGTCAGACAAGTTAACACTACTTATGATGGTGCTGAATGATGATTTTTGTAGAGAATGTCAAGAGTTCATGTTATCCATGCTAATTCAACAATACAGTCTTTTGATACCAATGCTCGCATAATGATGTGTTCAAATGAAAGAAACAAATGGTTGTTCCAATGGGCCAACCAGAGGGATTCTTCAAATGGGCAAATCAGAGGGTTCGTTTCAATGGGAAACTCAAGCGGTCCCATTTAATGAGCCAATCAGAGGGCTCGTTTCAAATAACCAGAAGAAAATCTGAGGCTAGTTTCAACCGACCTAACAGAGGGCCTGTATCAACGGACTAATCAGAGGGCTTGTTTCATTAGGCCAATCAAAGGTGTGGTTTCGATTGACCAAACAAATTACTCGTTTCAATAGGCCAATCGAATGGCTTATTTCAACAGGCCAAATCAAATATTACAGTAGAATCAAAGACATACTGGATGTGTGCAAAGGTTCTCTTTTTCACAACCACTATTTGTGTTGTACTGACTGTTAATGGTGGTGTGTTTTCTTTCTCAATATTGATGACCTTGTTATCAAACTGCAGGCTAACCAAATGTCAATGTGACCCAGAGATATGAATCAGAGACATAAGCAACACATTGTGGTGTTGCATTTACAGTGGGAGCTTGGCTTTGAAGGTAAACTTTTGCATGTCTATGTGCTCTTGTGTGCGAGTGATTTCCTTACTTCGGTAGTCTGCTTGCCATTATAGGACATCTTTTTGATGGCCACCACCTCGTTAGAGTAGGAGTTACGCGCCTGGATGGGAAAAAAACAGAGATCAGATTCAAGAACAATCTTCAATTTGAAGTCTTAAAATGTACACACAACTCTCACAAAGACAAATAAATACTTTTTCACACGGTTATAACACTCTATAAGAAGAATATGGCATAATTAAATTGTTAACAGAGGCACATTGAAGCAACACACCGCTTAAGTTTTACATCAAGTTCAAGAGTGATACAGCCAGGGGTGTGAAGATTTGAACTTTGAACTAAAAAATAAATTAGTTTTAATTGGACAACAATTGTGGAATACTTTACTTTAACTCTCCTCTTCTGTATAGCATATATTAGCACTATGTTAACATTTAATCATAGTGCCAATCATTATTTGATTCTACACCAGCCTTTAAGCTGTTGATATTTTTTATTATTAAACACTTGTGTTACAAAACATTTATTACATGTTTATTTACTTGCTAAATAGGGGGGGTTAAAGTGAAGTGTTGACAACTCATGAAATGTCTTAAGGGTGATTGAGAGTTAAGAAAAAAACGAATTGGTGTATACAAACATCATTATGAATGCACAAAGCAATACATCTACAACTGATTGATACGGCACTAAGAGATTATCTCATTTGAATTCAAACACATTTCCGCCTGATAAAAGCACTCTGTAACGTGATTTGGGGAAGCCTGCAGGTTGGTGATATGTGCTCGTTCTGCAGCTACTGTTAGGGCTTGAGTTGTCCGTGCACATCCACATGTCCATGCTAAACCCATGCTCAGAGGCATTGGCCTTAGGAACTGCTACGCTACAGCTCAGCCTAAGCCCTTATCTCCGCTTCATCCCACTTACAAATGAATGGGAATTTCATGTTGAGATTCAAAAGGAATTACTATTCCTATTTGATTTTTTTTCTGATTAATTAGATCCCTATGATTGACTGTCTGTTCAAGCATAATTGCTGTTCCCTCTGGTGTAATGTATAGCTAGATTGCTGTCGAGAAGGAAAAAAAAAAATGTAACGCTGAAATATTAAAATACATTCAGGCTAATTGTCATCGCAGAGGAAAGGGGGAGCATCAATAATTACAACAGGCTAATTCATTCAACATACACTGTAGTGAAGTGTGTGTGGGCCTGCACACGCAGCTGGGGGAATTCCCCTTGTTCTCTTCTATAATGGAGATCCTCTCTTAACATGCATTCACGATGGATGCACATACACTTGCATCAATTCCTTTGACTATGCATGCATATACAATAACATAATAGAAAAAATATGCACGCATTTACAAGAGAAAGCACTGTGCCACTGCCACTGTTCCTTTCTCATCTAACATGCACCTAACTTGCAGTATTGGAGATTTTATTTCTTGAATGTTAGAAAATACAACTAGATCACAACATAGTCAAACCAAAGCTAATTGCTGTTATTTTGTTATATAGCATGAAAGTCAATGTCAACACAATGTGTTATTTGCTACATATAGACATGATTATATCTGTCAGCAGATCTTTCATTTAGGTATTAAAACTGTAAGGATATCTTTTTAGACTACGTTAACTAAAGCTGCTCTTGCTAACAGCTAAAGCCACCAGTTTGCCAGTTGTAATGCAGACAGCATAAGTGTGTCAGTGAGCACAGCGCTGGCATCAGGGCCGGATTAAGACGCACACTGGAGCCTGTTAGCCAGACGGACATGGGCACCAGGGTAAATTGTGACGTATTAGGGCTGTGTGTGTGTGTGTGTGTGTGTGTGTGTGTGTGTGTGTGTGTGTGTGTGTGTGTGTGTGTGTGTGTGTGTGTGTGTGTGTGTGTGTGTGTGTGTGTGTGTGTTGTGTTGTGTGTTGTGTGTGTGTGTGTGTGTGTTGTAAATGAGATGGGATAGAAGAGGATGTTGAAGCCCTGACAGCCAAGAAAATCCTGCTTTACTATCGACAGCTTCTGTTTTTCCATTTCAAGAAAACAGCTGTCTTAGTAGGGAGGGAGGAGAGGAGGCTTATCGCTCTCAGCCCTGCATCTGGAGGGGGAGAGAGGAGAGGAGAGGAGAGGAGAGCAGTAGCAGTAGCAGTAGCAGTAGCAGTAGCAGTAGCAGTATATGAGAGGAGAAAGAGGAGAGCATCTGAAGGGACCAGAGAGATCTGCTTTCAACCCCCCCTCCACACAGCTTTAGAATCAAAGGCTTGATGAGTAATTAGTGATGATGAGATTAATAAGAAAAGCTACAGAGAAAGTGCTGAGAGCGAATCTGTCTCCACGCAATTTCATTCAAAGAGCCATAACGTAGTGGGTTACACTTACAACATGCGTACAAATCAATGGATCGATCAGGGGTGACTACTCATAAATAAATCAAAGCGATATTCGTGTATTAATAAGCGCTGCATAGTAAAGGGCTTAGGGAGCTTTTCTTAATGGTATTCTTAAGTATCTGTAATGGTCCAGCCCCTCATTCACATGCTCTATTTCTTCCAAAGCTAAATGGTCAACTAATAAACTCCACCACTACATCTTTGATGTTTTACTGCGTCGAAACAATGGCTTCAAATCGTTTCAATGTCTTCGAGGTCCACTCAATCTCAATCAATAAACTCTGTCTTAACAGGCGTGCATTGCCATCAGATGGTGTAAATCCCACCGAGTTAGACTCAATATAAAGATATATGATCCATACTGACGTAAACGCCTGACCAAAACTATTTTTTTTAAGATCTGAAATTACTTGATAATATGGTAATAAAAGCAGTTTAAAGGTTATTTTTTTTAATTGTATATGCAATGTCCTTGGTTTGGATGAAGTCCTTTTAATTAAAGTGTATTGGCTTGTGAAAGAACACAACATTTGCACTCACAAAGTAGACGGCCCCAAAGCTGCCATGTCCGATCTCGTGCAGGTCACAGAAGACATCCTCGGGGTCATCTTTGAAGAAAAGGTCAGCCAGCTCTGGGTCCTTCGGCACTCCTTTCCGCGTGGAGGACGGCATTATGGGCTGGACATGAGCTAGGCGTCGGGGGCGACGCTCACATACACACTACTGCTGCTGCTGCTGCCGCCACCAGATCTCCACCACGGGCCCGGCATTGGCCAGCTAGACCTGGAAACAGAAAGGAATAGATTGTGACATTTGTCAGATCCTCCTCAACTTAACACTTAGCTGTTGCCACACAACACAACATATCACTTCCTGTGTGCAAGAGAATTCATACATGACTGAAGTATACTTCAACTTTTTAAAACTGATTACCATTCATAAAATGAGTGTTATATTAGTGGAATGATAGTGACACACACAAACACACACAGACAAATATTCCTGCTTATGCCCTTATTCCAAAAAAAAAACACCTACAGTACATTTTATATTTCAAAAATATGTATCCTGTAGTAAACTCTTTAATTCCTTCAACTATCTTCCTGTCAAGGTCAGTGTTGCTACATTTGGGAACATCCAAAAACCTGTCTTTCATCATTTCTAGGTGTTTCGTTTAGTAGGTTTGTTACTCCTAGAGAAAAGTGGGATACTTTGGGAACATGCATCCCTAGTTGGTTAATGAACCAACAAAGATTCTGTTTGCACACACAAACCCGTATCCTGTGTGTGTGTGTGTGTGTGTGTGTGTGTGTGTGTGTGTGTGTGTGTGTGTGTGTGTGTGTGTGTGCGTGCATGCACCTTTCTATTCTGCATTTGCATCGCTGCAGTTGATAGGTGACAGAGACAAGTAAAACGACAGCTATATTGACGCAGCAGTACTGTCTAGTCCTGCTGCTCATCCGAGTCACAGTCACACTTGCTTACGTAAATAAACACACACACACACACACACACACACACACACACACACACACACACACACACACACACACACACACACACACACACACACACACACACACACACACACACACACACACACACACACACACACACACACACACACACACACACACACACACACACACACACACCACCCTTGACAGTAGGGCTGCGTATTGGCAAGAATGCGGCGGTACAATACGTATCATCTTTCAGGGGTTATGAAAGAAATATCTGAGCATCTTTTTGTTTTTAATGCATCAGAACAGTAGGTTCTACATTTTGATTTATCAAATTACCCGTCACATCCAACATCAAAACATAAAATGAGCCTGCATACAGTTCTAATAATAATTGTTCATACAAACAGTTGATTAAATTATGTTATTAAGAGTCAATATAGTATCGCAATACATAATATTGCATTTCAATAGGATATAAAGAAATCTACTTTTCTTAAGATTATCAATATTCTCCATGCCTACTTGACAGCTGAAGCTGAGTCACTGATGCATCATCATCACACATGCAGACACACACTAATGCTAAATGTTTTGTATCACAAGGCTGCAGCCAGCCCATCAAGCGTGCATACATTCTGGACACCCTGCTCCAGTTAGCTTGGCTGCACATGCATCACACACACATGCACAAAATCACACGCTATCTCTCTCACTGCCGTTCCTCTATCTTTTGCTGTGTACCAGAACATCTCTGTGCACATCATCCAGATGCAGCTAATCTGGCTCCAAAGGCCAGCCCCACACAGGGCAAGCTGACATACAGGCAGAGGCAGCAAGACACACATGCACACAGGCCAAGACACTAAGCATCAGCATCATCCTAATCCCCCGCTCTTAAAGGGGCTTAAGCCATCACACCCGCTCCCAAAATATCTTAAAATGTCTTAAAGGCAAAGTCCTGTGCCCTCTGTTCCACGGCACAACATGTGTGAAGATGGCAGCCTCGTAGCTTTGGGGGGATTACTGTAGGTGTGGGATTCTGAGGGTGGACTATTTCATTGATTACCCGATTGAAAAAGTATCTACTTATCTTAATGCAACTATCATTTGCTATAAATATCTGCGGATTGCATCGTTTGTTAAAAAGCAACCAAAAACATCTTCTTAGTGTTTTTTTAACAGCATTTAAAACTTTACCAATAAAGTGAAAAGTATGAGGTGTCCACTACAGGGCCTGCAATGTTTGTTAGTAATGAAATAAATATATGCCTGGATTGACAACTTTTGTGACAGTGTTAAATGGATATTAAAATGTATGTATATTTAAAAGAAACCCCTGACTGAGGTCGGTTGAAATACGGTTAAATGACAGTAAATTAATGATCAATACATTTCGCACAAGTAAACAAGGTCACAAAGGGTAAATCACACAGAAGTGCCTTAGCCAATCAGAATGCAGTCCTGCAGCACCATAGGTGGGCTAGACTGAACAAGCTAGATTCGAGATTCATTTGAAAAGGGCACTTCTCTAATAGGAAAAGGGCAGGTGCTCAAGCCCACTTTGAGGTCTATCTGTGCACATGCCTAGTGCACAACACCCGATTTCTCGAGTTTTGATTCGCTGTTCACGATCAACATACTCTCAATAACACTGGCTCAAGATACCTCAAAGCTATTCTGCCATTTTGCATGTGTTGACTGGCCACGTCAAGAGATGCTGCTTATTTGTTAACCCAGAGTTGAGGAGAAGACATGGAAAAATACTGCTTCTTAAGTTGGCCAAGTAAACATCAACAAGAACACACACTCTGCCTCCTTCTGTAAATGGAAAGGTCTCCTGATGCCAACCGGCTACAACTACAAAGCTGCTTTAACATAACATCTCAGCATTGGGTATGGCAGCATGTTGAACTGCAGCCTGACTAAAGTACATTTCATGGTTTCTAAGAATGGCCCAGAACATGCTCGGAAACCACCACGCGTTGCCACATAAACAACAGCCATGGTTTCAGTTTACCCGCTTACATAATGTGAAAGATCACATATAGGCTTACATGCTTATTGCCTCAAGGCAGCTCTTGGTCACTGAGGCATTTTTGAGTAGCATGAACCCTTTATGCCTGTGATGGAGGTGTGTCGAATGATGAACGAACAGTACAGCACACAAATACAACCTGTAGGTTGCAGATCATTTTACACATTATTTATGGTTTCTAGCAATTCAATGGAAGTCACACTGCCATCAAGTATATATTTGTGCACGTGTGTGGCATTTATTAGAAGCTTTGCGTGATTTTAGTTCTTCATATATCTGATTAAAGACTTTTTTAAGCACTAAAAGTGTGTTTGTTGACATACAACCAAGACAATTATGTATAACTGACCTTGGAAGAGAACCATGCAGTGTCTCTGTTTGTATTTGCCGGTGTGTATGCCAATATGTGTTCCACCACCACTTTTCTTTGGCCACGTGTATATAGTGTGTGTGTGTGTGTGTGTGTGTGTGTGTGTGTGTCTCCTGGTTGCATCAGCGCTGTCTGTCTCCTCTCTATCTCTGCTGAAATGAAACCTGACACAATCCCCATCTCCACACACACACACACACACACACACACACACACACACACACACACACACACACACACACACACACACACACACACACACACACACACACACACACACACACACACACACACACACACACACACACACACACACACACACACACACACACACACACACACACACACACACACACACACACACACACCTTATATGGAATGAGAATTATTGGACAATAATGGAGACAATCAAACATTGTATAGAGAGAGATTGTTGGACCCCATGTGAAGACGCTTTAAAATCAGATCTGAACCACAATGATGGGAGGAGTTGGCGGATGGGTAAAAGAGATCAAAATGGAGCAAATGATGCCATGTGATCACTCTGGAGACTGTGCACAACTCCCTCTCACCCTCTGTTTCACTCTTCCTCCTCCTCTTCCTCCTCTAAGATGTGTGAAGTGATGCAACGTACCGTTAACAGGTTGTAACGTGGGGGCTTGGTAACGCTGTCAGTAGTCCGGCAAAGTCCGGTATTTTGTCAGTTCTGTGTGTGCGTGTGTGTGTGTGCGTGTGTGTGTGTGTGCGTGTGTGTGTGTGTGTGTTTACTCTGGATCTATGAATGGCATTGTGCTGAGAGAGAGCTGGCAAATGGCTTAGACAGATTTACTGCTCGGTGTGTGTGAATTCTTTACTACATGTTCACTACCACACGCATGCATGACACGGTACTTATGTGTAGGTGTGCAGTAGCGTGTCATGCATGCACGCACTGGTGGCTGAGTGAGTAAATGAGGCAGCATGTGTGTGGGTTACAGTGGGGGAAGGTATTGCTGCCAAATTATTGCTATATTTAATAAATGATCACAAAAACAAATTATATGTAAACGAGAATATATCGTCTATGAAAATCTGGCCTAGACTATAAACAAACACACACACATTTGAATTCAACAATATTTGAAGAACAATAATAAGGATTTTGCACTGAGTTTGGGAATTTCTTGCCGAATATACTAAAAAAGGTTTTAACGTTGCAGTATTTTTGGAAGAAAAAACCACATTAAAGTATCTAATATTTCACATAGGAAAATGAAATTAATTTTCAAATCAGAAATGTAAAAGAGAGAATATATATAAAAAAGTACTCTTATGCCCCTTTCACACCGGCGCTTTTCCAGCTCCTGCTCGGAGCTGGAGCTGGAAAAGCGCCGGTTTTTCCTGTTCACACCGCAGCGGCGGCGCGTCATAGCTCCGGAATGCGGTTCACTTCCAGCTCCAAAAGATTGTCGGTCCAGAGGCAAGAGCTTCGGAGCTATGACGCGGCGTCGCTTACGTCTCTTACGTCTCTTACGTCGAGGCGTGCAGGAAACCTTACTTTGACCATCCGTTCGCTGTTATTGATCATTGTGGAGATACATGGGCTGTACAGGTTGTCATGTCCGACTATCACAAGTAGAATCATAATGAAAAATACGCCGGTAAAATGTGCCCGTAGAAAACGGCTTAGCAAGTAGTCAGTTTAGCTTCGGTTGCTATGCTAACATCACCCACGTTATACCAGAGAAACTTTCATAACAGCGTTGTGATGCCAAACAGCGTCAATTCAGACTGACACACATTCACTTAAGGGGAACTGGGGATATGTATCAGCTGCTTGTGTGACAGTCAGACAGTGAATACTTTAGAGCCGTGTGAGCTAACCCGGAGCTAACGGGAGAATAAACTCCCGTGGAAGCCAGCACTGCAGCGG